ATTATGTTGTATTATATTATACTGTATTATATTTCTACTCCTATTTTGTAAGGTAGAGAACTTCACACAATGAGACACAGAACTCTTAAACTTTTCATTTAACTAAGAAATCCAGTGAGGCAGTGGGTTCTGCTTCTTATCTCTTCCGTGTAGGGAACTGAGACATGCTGAAGATCACTGTTGATGTAACACAGAAACCCACCAGGGTTTTTGGTTTTGTTTTTTTTTTAGAACATTCTAGAATGTAGAATGTCAATATCATGGCCAGGGCAACAACAACAACAACAAAAAAACAACCATGAGAATTGCAGACCCTTTCACTCGACATAAATAATACAGATTATTTCTCCTTTATTAAAAATTTCATCTGTGAAGACAGCTTTATAACGCAAAATAGTATCTGTTTTTCTGTATCTAACTGAAAAGAAGGACTTTTTCTTCCTTTCTACCTTGCTGAGATCTTTCTCCCAGGCAGCACTGAGGAGCTGTTAGAATCCCTCTGGTTAGCAGTGAGGGAAAAGAACAAGTCTGAGTAACTCTGCACTTACAGTAAGGATCAGAAAACAAGAGAAAGAAAATGTTGATAAAAGGAATGTTAGCATATATATTTTGCATCTACAGAAACAGATCTTCATCTCTAATAAGTTAAAATTTATTATAAAAATTCTGTAGGCTGAGGGGTGCCTGGAAGGCTTAGTGAGTTAATCCTCTGCCTTCGGCTCAGGTCATGATCCTGGGTCCTGGGTTCAAGTCCTGCATCGGGTTCTCTGTTCAGCAGGGAACCTGCCCCCCCACCCCCGCCTGCCTCTCTGCCTACTTGTGATCTCTGTCTGTCAAATAAATAAATAAATAAAATCTTTTTTAAAAATCTGTAGGATGAAAAGATATTACTGCTTAATAAATTCCTACATTTCATGGGCAGCAGCTCTCTCCAAAAAAAAAAAAAAAAAGAGTGTCTTTTGTTTAAGTAAAAGACATTGTCTTCATTCCTTTTGACTCAGTTGTTTTTTGTTTGGTGTCTTGGTATTTCTATTTTTACCTTAGCTACTGAATTATTAGCTCTAAATTAGCCTGTACTCAGATGTATAGTAATATAAATTTAAGATATAATTTGGTACCTTGTGTCCTGCATACATATTTATATTTAAATGTTTCAAAAATAAAATGCACCTTATTACTAAAGACAAGAACAGGAAAAAAAGAGCATTTGTCATTATTTCTTTTTTATCATTATTATGTTATCTTAGTCACCATACAGTACATCATTAGTTTTTGATGCAGTGTTCCGTGATTCATTGTTTCCATATAATACCTAGTGCTCATTACACCACATGCCCTCTTTAATACCCATCGCCAGGCTAACCCATCCCTTCTTCCCGCTATCCTCTGAAGTCCTCAGATTATTTCCCAGAGCCCACAGTCTTTCGTGGTTCATCTACCCCTCTAATTCCCCCCCTTTCCGTTTTCCCTTCCTTCCCCTAATGTCCTCCGTGCTATTCCTTTGTTCCACCTACAAGCGAAACCATATGACAATTGCCTTTCTCTGCTTGATTTACTTCACTTAACATAATCCCCTCCAGTTCCACCCATGTTGATGCAAATGGTAGGTATTCATCCTTTCTAATGGCTGAGTAATATTCCATTGTGTATATGGACCACATCTTCTTTATCCATTCATCTGTTGAAGGACATCTCAGCTCCTTCCACAGTTTGGTGATTGTGGCCATTGCTGCTATGAGCACTGGGGTGCGTGTGCCTCTTCTTTTCAGTACATCTGTATCTTTGATGTAAGTACCCAGTGGTGCAGTTGCTGGGTCATAGGGTAGCTCTATTTTTAACTTTTTGAGGAATCTCCACACTGTTTTCCAGAGTGGCTGCACCAGCTTGCATTCCCACCAACAGTGTAAGAGGGTTCCCCTTTCTCCACATCCTCTCCAACACTTGTTGTTTCTTGCCTTGTTAATTTTTGCCATTCTAACTGGTGTAAGGTGGTATCTCAATGTGGTTTTGATTTGAATTTCCCCGAAGGCTAATGACGTTGAACATTTTTTCATGTGTCTGTTAGCCACTTGTATGTCTTCTTTGGAGAAGAGTCTGTTCATGTCTTTTGCCCATTTTTTGACTTGATTTTTTTTTTGGGGGGGGTGTTGAGTTTGGCAAGTTCTTTATAGATCTTGGATACCAGCCCTTTGTCTGTCATGTCATTTGCAAATATCTTCCCCTATTCCATGGATTCCCTCTTAGTTTTGCTGACTGTTTCCTTTGCTGTGCAGAAGTCATTATTTCTAAGAAAAAATTTGCCTTAGTTTTGTTATTAGGATATGTTGGTGTTTCCTGAAATGTGTTGTGTGGAGTCTGAATTTTGCAAGACAGTAACACTGACTCAAACCAGGGATCCGTTTCCAAATCTCAGAAGTTTCTATTGCATTCATGGGATGAGTTCTTGGTTTTGTTGTAGTTTTACCTTAGGACATCTAAGGGATTTTATTCTGTGAACAAGCTTGTGGATTCCCAAAAGGGGTTAAGTATCCACCATTTTCCAAAATTATCTGACCAGGGAACAGTTTCATTTTTCAGGAGGCAGCTCTTAAGACCAGTATTTGGCCTAATGTGTATTAGTGAATGGTTGTGTTCTAAATTATTGAATTCCTCCATGTGCGACCCTGAATTATTCTAAACAAATTTGGGTGAAAAAAAATTTCTTTCCAGCAGAGACACATTTGTAAAATTAGGCCTAGTTAATCTTGCAGTATAACAGGATTCTTTCCCCCCTCCCTTCCTCCCCCCACTTCCTGCCTTCCTTCCTGCCTGCCTTCCTCTCTCCCCCCTCCTTTATTACTCTCTCCCCCCTTCCCTCCCTCCTTCCTTCCTGCCTTCCTTTCTTCCTCCCTCCCTCCTTTCTTCCTCTTGCCTTTCTTCCCACCCTATCTCCTTCCTTCCTCTCTCCCCCCTTCCCTCCCTCTTTCTTTCATTTCTTCCTCTCTCCCCTTCCTTCCTTCCTTCCTTCCTTCCATCCATCCATCCATCATGGTGTTCTATGCACATGTGCTAAAATTTCACAGTGCTAACAGGCTTACTGTCATGTAGCCTTCCTTCTCCAACTTCACCCACTACCTTGGTTCAATACCCATAAAATATCAATCTGATTCTTTTGAGATTGCTCTCCAGTTTTCGTTTGTTTTGTTTTCACTAAGTAAATCTTACTAAGATTTCTTGCATGGACCGTGGAACCAAATGGCCTAATTTCAAATACTGGTTCCCCAGAACTGTGTGATCTTGGGCATGTTTTTCAACTGCTTTGTGCCTTAATTCCCTCACCCACATATAATAATAATGTAATAATAGAATATGTTTGTATATAACACATCTGTGAGTGTGTCTATATGCATGTATACACACTATTATTTATATACACATATCTACACATGCACATAGATACATAGATGTGGTTTGAGGACCATGGTGGAGGTTAAAGGAGCTGATTGTGTCAGTTACTTAGTGCTGGACACTAGAAAGTCTATATAAACATTAGCCTTATTATAACTGCCGTCTTCATTGTTGTCATCAAATATTTGCTTTTGCTGAAGTGAGAGAACTGGCCTAGAGAAATTTAAACACATTGAGAAATGGCTTTCAGATGTCAACATCTGCACGAGGCCTGGCCTTTCTCCCAGGGTGGTGGCCAGGTCCCAGGCACGTGTCCCTAGAGAAACAGAAGGTGAGTGCATGGCATTTTCCTCACCCTGGGGTCAAGAAAGTCACAATTCACCCAGGTTTGAAGGGATGATGCAGAAGGTCCTCTTTGGCACATGGGACTCTCAAGGTCCAGAAGGCCTTGAGGAATGGGAGATACTTTGTAGACATCTTTCAGAAACACAATTGACCACGATCCCCTTCTTCCTCAGTATCTCAGGCCTACGTTGGTTGGCACCCCATTGCTCCAAACATCACCCACAAGGTTTCTCTGGGGAGAGTCTGCTCACTTATGGTGGGTAGCCACCCCCTCCTAGCCCACTACAGCCCAAGTTAATGCCCTGCAAACATCCTCCTGACCCCACCCTGTCTGCTCTCTAGTTTCTACAAAGAATGTGCTGAAGCTTTCCATCAGCTCTTATTATCCTTCCTTCTTCTCTGTCCTTGTAGAGCACAGCGTTCACATGCCTTTCTTATGCTTGGGGAAGGAGAAGCGAGGAGCTCATTTAATCAAATCATGTTGCAGTTGAAGACCCCACAGGTTTACCTCCTATGTGAACTTGCCCTTCCCTTCACTGTGTCTGGAGTGAGCCCCCTTCCCTTATGATCAACCTGCAGAAATCGTCTTCATGTTTCAAAGCCATTTCTTCATAAACTGATCTCCCAAAATAGATAAGTGTCCATCACCAATAACACTATTATACTCCTAGACGTATTCCTCGTTATGTTTCCTGATAGTGCAATGTGTGTGGCTTCTCCAACCTGTCACTGGTTATAAATCCTGAGGGATGAACTTTATCCAGTTTTGCATCTTAATAGACATTAAGTGAACATTCTGTGGTTAAAAGTACAACCATGCTGGTAACAAAGAAATGTCTCTAGAGCTGAAAAGAGTGCCCTATAATCTCCAGATTACACCACACTGGGCAACTTCCATAGGAAGACTCTAGTCAACTGTCCACCAAGGCATGGCTGTCAAAGGGCCCCCATCCATGCAACCCTCAGGTCAAGGGTTCCCTGCAGTTCTTTTGCTATAGGTGGGATGAGGGGACATGTGTAAGATTGAGAACCCAGGGCCTCTGGCTTTCCCCCTCTAGAAGTCAGATGCTGCTGCCTACTGGGGTCTTCCAGCACTTCCAGGAAGAAGAAAGTCTAGCCTTGATGTTCCAAGACCGTAGAGGTCTCTATCTGCCCAACCCAGAGGAATTATGACATCAGCAGTATATCAGAGCACTATAACAGGATCAAGGCAATATGCTGACACAAAGGCCAATCTCATAATTTCCCATTGCTCTGTACCTCCACAGGAGACTGGATGGCCGTGAGACTGGTGAACGGCACAGGGAGGTGCTCAGGCCGAGTGGAGGTTCTCATCCAGGGCACATGGGGAACCGTATGTGGTGACCTCTGGGACCTGGCTGAGGCCACAGTGGTGTGTCACCAGCTGCAGTGTGGCCAGGCTGTGGCAGCCCCCACAGGGGCCCACTTTGGGGCAGGCTCTGGGAAGATCCTGCTGGACGACGTGCAGTGTGCCGGCGCTGAGAGCCACCTGGGGCAGTGCATGCACAAGGGTGAGGCCAGGCTCAACTGCGGGCACCTGGAGGACGCCAGCGTTATCTGCGCAGGTAAGGGATTGGCTGTCAGCCCTCATTAGGAAGGCTACTTCTATCCCTTCACTTCTCATTCTTCCACACACACAACATAGCATAGCCCAGAAAAGTCAGTGGATTGAGGCAGGCAACTGATGTTGTCTACATCCTTTCAAAGTTATACATCAGCCTCACCATCCCCTTGCCTCTTGTTGAGTATGGCTCACGATCACTTATCCAGGCTCAGAAGTGGCTTGATGGTTTGAAAATTTGGACTGAACTTGAATTCAGCCAAATCAGAGTATCTGGCATAAAAATCCAAATTCTTGCATTTGTGAAAAAAATAAAACAGAAGTTCAGGCTCAAAACAAGAAATTATTTGATTACATCAACTGGCTGGATCTGAGAAAGAGCTGACCCTTTGGTCAAGAAACAGCTTTCTAGTCCACACAGTCCCCATCACTCAAATCCCTTATCTGTTTTATTCCCATGGCCCTTGGAAACTTTGGAGTTTGAGTTTGTGACTTCCAGGTGATGGGCCAGATTTGTCAGCTGATGTTCCAGGTCCTCCACATCTAGACCTGGTGACCTTCCCAAATCTATGGGTCCTGCTAGTTGACTCTCTGCCACACAGAATCTTTCCTGATTCCATCCTACTGGCAGCTGGAACAAATGTCCCCACAAATGACAAGCTCTGCCAGGCTGCACCTGGCCCTTCCTGAGCCACTCAACACCTAAGAACCCTGGGGCAGGGGGTGGGTACTGCCTTCTGAAGCTCCCCTGGGACACTCAACATTTGCTGCCTGGTCTTGTGTCTCAAATCCCCAGGGAAAATACTGAGACCCTCAAGGGCATGGTCTCTGCCTCTCCCTGCTTCCCACGGCTCCCTAAATCTAGGATAATCCCAATAAACAGTCACTGAGTAAGACGTGATAACGTGCACAATCTCTCTTCACGCTGACAGGTGCTGACTCCACAGCTGCTCTGCCTACAGGTAGAACCCGTGTTACACTTGGCATCATCTACTAGACCTGGCATGATGTAAGAGAGATCATGAGGTTTAGAGTCAGATCCTGGTTTGATTCTCAGCTTCATTTATTCACTCATCTGTTCATTCAGTGGATACTGACTGAGTGTCCACCGCGTACTACTCTGTGCCAGTAAGCACTGGGGCCACAGCAGTGATCAAATTCCCCCCCATCCCCAGATCTCTCCCGTCACAGGGCCTACACCCTAATGGGAGGAACAGACATGATATAGGATCGCTCTCAATTATGGGACCTCAGCCAAGTTATAGCATCTCTTGATCCCGTTTCATCTCATTTTTCTTCACAAGAGTAGGAATAACAGAGAATTGAATGATGGAGAATTAAGTATGACAATGCCCAAAGATACCTAGCACCTGACAAGCACTCACATAGTTCCTCCTTTTGGTCTAATGCCAACTAATGGAGGTTGTGTGAGGGGTGCAAAAGGCCCTGGGCTGGAGGAATCTGATCCTGGCTGGTCTCTCTCCAGATGAATGACCTTGGCCCTCATTCTCCATGCCATTAGAGAGAGATGATGGCCAACTGATGACCTCTCTTATGGCAAGCCACATGGGGCAAGTCGTCCATGAGCTTTGCTTTTCTGATGGCCATGTGGTGCATGTTCGTTTGTCAATGGGCAATAACACTATGTTCTGTCCTAAATGAAGATCTTGGGGCTATGAGGCCATTGGCCTTAGAAGGCAGTGTAATGGTTATTCCTGGAATCCTGGGGGGAGACAGATGACCCCTTGAAGCAACTGCTTCAGTGTTCCGACTGCTCCCTGATGACAGCCCTTCCTTTTTACCCACCAATAGCCTATGAGAACCTGCTTCCCACCTCATCGGTGATATCAGCAGCTCAACACCCACCTTCTTCTGCACCTCCAGGTAAGGCTGTTTCTTTTTATATTATGTCTTCTGAACAATTTTTTTCAATCTGACGATGGATGAATGAATAAAGATGTGTCACTAAGGATATATAATGTCACTGGGGTTATATATAACAATAAACAGGCTGACCCTCAAGTCATCTAAGTTCATGGGGGAAGGAGGGTATATCCTGTTACAAAAAAAAGTGTGGTGATTGCTCTGATAGGGGAGCACAAGGTGCCATAGGTGCTCAGAAGAGGGTCTCCATATAGAGCCAAGGGGTCTGGGCAAGACCTGAAAGGTGAAGGGACAATAAAATTATGCCAGGCAGGGAAGAAACCGGACAGACTCCCTTTGGGCTTCAGGGTGGGAGACATTAACATGTGTTCCAAATTAGAATATAGGGCTGCCAATAGCATACAGAATTAGTGAACAGTTTGATGGTTTGACGTGGTTTTCTGCTGTGATCAGGGATGAGTAATATTTCAGGATATTCCACCTTGAATTGTTTTTTTTTTTTTTCTTTTATGATTTAGGCCTAGTCTAAGGTCAGATAAGGTAGGAGTAAAACATTGAACCCCTGAGTCTTTTTTAATCTAGCTGTATAGTCAAAAGATTCAGGGAGGACAGAATGGAACCATTATCTCTCCCTGGGGTCTGAGCATCCCTGGTAGAAGAATGCCCAGCAGGTGCCATAGCTCCTAGACATGGGGCATGGTGTGGCAATTACCAAAGGTGCTGTTGTTGGCTGTGTGAGTTTCAGTCACCTGAAATCATATCTTTCTTTTTTGTGTTTTTTATGTTAACATTATTTTTATATCTATCCAAGCTCTTTTCTTTGCATACAATTTTTTATTGAGGTATAAGTGACATGTAACATTAATATTAGTTTTAGGACTACAACATGAGGATTCCATATTTGTATATATTGCAAGATGATCCCCGCAAAAAGTAACTTATCTAAGGAGGGAGTATGGATAATTGCCATTGCCATGTAAAACCATCCCAGGACACAGTGGCTTAAAATGACCACCATCTGTCACTGCTTATGGTCCAAATGTCAGCTGGGTAGTTCTGCCCCTCTGGGATGGGCTTGGCTGGTCTTGGCTGACTCTGCTGGGCTTGTCCATGCATCTGTGTCTAGCTGACAGGTCAGCTGAAGGCTGCCTGACCTAGGATGGACTCCCTTATATGTCTTACTGTTCCATAGCTCTTATACAGAGGTGACAGAGGTGATGAGGCCACCTCACTTTGGTGTCCTCAGCTGCTCTGATAACCATCTTTTAGCGCAAGCCCTAAAGTGATTCTCCAAGGAAGCTGAGCAAAATACTACTCCTTTGTCACCCACAGACTAACTCAAGCTTCCTCACAGCATCCCTTCAGTGTTCCCACGGAATGAACTGAAGCCTGTCATGCCTCTGGAGGCCTCAGCTCCACAGGAGTACACATTACTTCTGTCACATTCTGCTGTCACGCACCACAGCCTAAAGTCAAAGAGTAGGAAAGTAAACTAACCTCTTGACCGGCAGGGCAACAATGACACACTGTAGAGAGTGAGGATGTCAGGAAGAGAAGCACTGTGGTCATTTTTGTAAACACTCCACCACAAGCAAACTGTCTGAAACACGAGTGTGGATAAGGAAAACATTACAGGCTTCTTAGAGCAGACTTAGCTGGAGAATGGCATGGGAGCTCACATGACCACGTGAAAAGTGTGGATAGCAAAGTCATGGAAAATAAGAAAAGCTAGGTTGGGTAACAGATAGTCCAGTCATCGAAAGGCAGAGAGAGCAACCATCAGCCCATGACCCACCATTCTTTCCCAGGAGGCAGGGCTCCCGTGCGGCTGATAGGTGGCCATGGGAGGTGCGCAGGCCGTGTGGAACTCTTCTACCAGGGAGTCTGGGGGACTGTGTGTGATGACCTCTGGGACCTGCCAGAAGCAAACATCATCTGCAGGCAGCTGGGGTGTGGCTGGGCCGTGTCAGCCCCGGGTGAGGCCCACTTTGGGGAAGGTTCTGGGAAGATCCTCCTTGACAACGTGCACTGCAGGGGAGATGAGCCGCGCCTGGAGGAGTGCTCCCACATCGGCTGGTTTTCCCACAACTGTGGGCACGGAGAAGATGCCGGCGTGATCTGTTCAGGTAAACCTCGGCTCCCCTCCCAGGCAGAGCCCAGCCCTGGCTCTTCCTGAGAGAACACTTTTCAAAAGGCCATGTAAATTTAGCTGTTGAAAAGGAACCCGTGCATTATTTGCTCACAGCGGATATTTTAACCCCTCGTGTTTACAGATGCTGAATACTCAACCATCTCACCCCTGGGTAAGGAAGGCAATATTTACATGTGCAGTTTCCCAAAACCTTGGGGAAGAAGTTCTTCTGGAAGTTGGATGTGTCATCCTCCAGGCCCATGGAGTGACTGGGACATGTGGAATCACCTGACTGTCCAGTGGGAGAACTGGATAGTACCTTAGAAATCATTTGATCCAGCCTCACTTTCAACTTCTCCCCCATTCTGTACACAGGAAGCAGATTCTAAATTTCTCAGACATGTGTATAGCACTTGTTGCCAGCTCTGAGGGTCACAAGGCAATGGCAATGAGATATGGGTAGGGTGATGGTTAAGGATACTTCCTGCCCAGGGGCAAATGGCAGGTGGACTGGACCTGGCCAAAGTCAAGGTGACCATTCCCACCCTCTCCCTGCTTCTGCTTTGTTCCTGGTGCCCACAGAGCTCCTTTTGCTATTGGTTTTCCCACAGGGTCTTAATGCCAGCACCCAGAGTTTTCCATGCCAGTACCCTCTCTCCTTCATCAAACCCCCAGGTTCCCTGATGCCCTGCCCTCAGCTGGCTCTTCGTCAGAGAGTGAATCATGAATAAATCTGAGTAGAAAAGGTCTGATAAAGCCTCAGGCACATTCCTTCCTGGGTTGTCAACTCTAGCAGGTCGAAATGGATTGGTCACAGGAAAGGTCTCCAGTGGGGGTTTCTGGGTCAGGTGTCCCTGGTAGGAGATATGCAGGGGGCATAAAGGAGGAGCCACAGCATCCTTGGATGTTGGCCTCCCATCTCTGAGCAACACCAGGTCAAAGGAAAGGGTGAATTGGGGCCTCTTCCTATTCTTACCTCAAAGTCTCATAACTCCAGGCCTTGGGTCACTGGAATTGGCTATAGTTGGCAGAATTTCATGTCTTCAGTGTTCTTAAATCCCCATTTTTAAAAATATCTCATTTGTGTGTATAACAAGAGGATGATATATCAAAATCTGGAAAGGATCTAGATCAGTGCTTTTTCCATCCCACACATTAACGTCCCCTGCATGTTCTGGCCTTGCCCCCAGAGAGGACCGAGCCATTCTGGGAGGGGCCTCACACTGTATTTGTTATGAGCTCCTCAGGGGATCATGTGCAGCTAGTGCCAGGACCTCAGTGCCAGCTGACGAGCCACATGTCCTTTCTGTGTTTGACAGATCGCCCACTGGCTGTCATAGCAGGACCAATGGCCACAGGTAAGACTTTGGTGTCCTTGGCTGCTCTGACCACCATCTTTTAGCTCAAGCCCCCAAGTGGTTCCCCAAGAAAGCTGAGCAAATTACCACTCCCTGTCTGGGTGACCCCTTTGAACCCACGTTCTGAGTGAAGAGTCCAATAATGAAGGCAGATGGATTTATGGTTCCAGTTCCATTGCTATGTAGTCACAGAAGGCAGTCCAAATAATCAAGTGACACCCGCATGCTTGGTCTCCAGCATGGACAGTTCCTGTGAAGGGCAGGCACGTGGCTCCTAACAGCAGTGTTGCCCGAGTGCTACCCAAGAGCATCACTGCAGAGGGCTGCCGCCATGGCGACCATGTTCTTCTTCTCCACCCTTGTCCCTTCTCTGACAATCTCTTTCTTCCTTGTTCATCCTTTCTTTGCATCTTCCATTCCCCCCCCCCGTTTTTGCCTATATCTGGGGCTTCCAAAAACTCCACTAAAATTTTCTTTCTTTTCTTTTTTTTTACTTTTCTTTTTTTGTTTTTTAAGATTTTTATTTATTTATTAGACAGAGACACAGCGAGAGAGGGAACACAAGCAGAGGGAGTGGGAGAGGGAGAAGCAGGCTTCCCGCTGAGCAGGGAGCCCGATGTGGGCCTCCATCCCAGGACTCTGGAATCATGACCTGAGCCAAAGACAGATGCTTAACACCTGAGCCACCCATGTGCCCCTCTGCTAAACTTTTCTTGACACCACTTGGAGATAAAGGGCTAAAATAATACCAATGCCTGGCTGGTTCTTCTATGGAAGAGCCGTAGGTAGATGACCAGAGCCAATCGAGTATAGGTCCAATTCTTGCACAGCCAGATAGTCTGATGGAGAAAGCCATTGCTACAGGTGTTACTTTTAATTTTGCACTGAATATTGGACAAATGGATAGACAAGCAGATGGAAAACAAATGGACATGTGGTGAACAGACAGACACAGAATGATGTCAGTGTTGGTGGGATAGATGACTCAGGGGAAGTCCTCTCCACTTAGTAGTGGATTTTTAATAGTGTAATTTTAATAAATTATAACAGATGGCAGATGGGACACTGACATCTTCATATACATAGACTCCATGTAGACTCAGCTTTACTAGGGGAAATGAAGCCATTTACTTGTTACTTCTGGTGGCCTGACAAAAGTCAAAGCCACAGAACCAACCCACAGAACAGAACCACGAGGGGAGCAACAAGCAGAAGGAAAGATTCTGGCTGATACTGGATAACTGCTCTGCCCACGGCCACAGCCACGTCAGTGATAGATTTCTCAAAACAAGTGAAAGATGTGTCAAGATCCAGACACTCTCATGCCCTAATTTCCTAAGTTTATAAGAGTTTTTAGACTGGTGTATGCCTCTGACATGTCCTAAGACTTACCCACAAGGTTAATGACCAAAGAGATCTTTTTGGGAAAAAAAAAAAAATGAAAGGAAAAGAAAGTGTGAATTCCAAAAGTAGTGAACTGAAAAATGAAAAAAAAAACCTGAAAACTTAAAATATTTTTCTTCTTTAGAAAAATCTAGGTGTGGCAGAGTAATTACCAACTCATCTGGAGCGATTAGGAATCCCCCGCAGAACGAAATGCATGACAACATAACCTGTGTGTGGGAAATAAAGGCCAATGCTTCTGATCACATACGGCTGGCATTTCCATATCTTAAGTAAGTCACAAGCACATGACTGAAGTACACCGTGTAGTTTAAAGGTCTGAGCATTTTCCTGTGCTTGATTCTCACAAGCAAAAATGTTCTTCATGCCCTTTTTAATTTTGAATTTTGACGTAATTGTAGACACACAGGAAGCTACAAAAATAATACATAGAGTCCAATGTACCCGTCACCCAGCTCCCCGCAATGGTGGCGTCATCTATAACTGTAGGACAATATCAACCCAGGAAGTCATGCAATACTGTGCTAAGCCACAGACCTTATTCTGTTTTCCCATCTTCCACATCCACTTGTGTGTGTGTGTGTGTGTGTGAGAGAGAGAGAGAGAGAGAGAATGTTTCAGTCTCTGGTTAAAGATGCAGATTCCAGGGAACCCCCAGACCTCATAAATCAAGAAATTTTAGGTTTTAATATTGTAAATAGTCAATGTTGATGTCATTCACAAATGAATGTCCCAGGAGCAACCTAAATTATTTATTGCTATTGAATTTTGCTTAATCAAAAAATGACTTGGAATGGATGGGTCATGAGGCTGAGGCCTGGGGATGGTCTTCTGACTCTAACCCTAGGGGCATCTGGACAAAACTTCACCGGGAAGAAGAGCGGACAGATGGGATGACTTGCACGGAGCAAGCTGGGCAGACTTGGTAGCTTGCTTCCCTCTAGGCAGGTCGCCTGTGGAGTTCCTAAATAGGTTGCTTGGAGCCTGAAGCCCTACCTACAGGCAGGCTGCTGCCTGATCCCGCCCTTGGCCCTGGGCTTTCAGGTACCTGCAGCCCCAGGCCTCATCAGGGGCCCACCTCGTACTCCAGCCTCCTCTTCCCTCTTCCAGTTAAGATCCCATCCCCTCAAGAAAAAGTGGGATAAAAGGATTTTATACTATGTTGAAATGACTGATGGGCTTTAATCTGTCCCCAGTTTTATTGTCGTGAAAGACAGGTGCTGCCTCACAGCATCCCTCTGAGATCTGCTAATGGGGAGGCTAAGAGGCACCATCGGTCTTTGCTTCCCTAGCCTAGATTGCACCAATGAATATTTTGAAATCCTGGACGGCCCTCCATCCTCAACAAAGTCCCTGGGGAAAACCTGCTCTGGGTCCTACCTCACCTACGCATCCTCCTCCAGCTCAATGACCCTCGTGTACTTCCGAAGCTTCAACAACATAGGGAAAAACTTCGTTGCTTATTATTACTCTGCACCCAAAGGTATGGACGGTGGTTAAAAGCAGGAGCTTTGGAGTTGCAGCTAACTGCCTTGGGGCCAGTTACAGCCCCATCACTTACTCTGTGACCCTGGACAAGAGACCCAACCTCTCTGTGCCTCAAACCATTCCCTGTGTAACAGGGATTAGAGAAGCTTCCTTCCTAGTCTTGTCGTGGGGCTTACCCGGAATGACACAAGTAAGGCCCTTGCACAACGATGGTACATCATGTGCTCAGTGCTTGGCAGATTCAACGCCAAGCCTGCTTCCCCGTAAATATTCAGTACAGTTTGCCCATCGGGACAGCACTTCTGGAGTTACACTGAATCTAGTATGAGGCGGGTGTTTCAGGACCTACAGAAGAAGCAGCTGTGGTCCCAGCCTAAGAGGGGCTCATGTACAATCTGGAAGCAGTTTAAAACAAACCCGTGTGATGCAATTAGAGAACAAGTAGAATAGACTAAATGAAGGCAAACAAATGGGATAGGCTAGAATATACTAAATTGACATACACATGCATCTCAGCCAAAGACGTTAGAAAAGAGAGAGAGCCGTGCAGGCTAAAACACGAAGGAAACATAGGAAGAGACGGCCTTAGATTTGTCTTTAAGCCTGGCCAAGCTGTGAGTTGAGAAATGGGGAGGGGGCACGCAGGAGAAGGAGCAGCATGAGTACAGAGATGGGATGTACAGGACATGCGGCGAGAAGCAGACAGAAGCTGAGCCAAGGTTTCAGATATAGCACAGGTACTCGAGGTTGGGTAATCACAGCAACAGTGATTGACATAGTAACGAACATTTACTGAATGCCGCTTTTATGCGAGGCAACCCTGTAAGCACTCTGCATGTGTTACTGCCTTTCATCCTCACACGAACCCATGGTTCTTCCCCTTGTACAGTCGGGGAAACTGAGGCTAGAGAGGTTCCATAATTGTTCTGAGGCCACCCAGCCATGGATCCTGCACTATTTAGCACTGAGAGAAAAGAGTCTGTCTCATGGACCCCATGAGCAGTTCTATCATCGTCTTGGCTGAGATGCTGTTCAGATCAGTCTCCCGCCCTATTAGGGAGCGCCAGGGTGGCTCAGTGAGCACCCTTGGGAAGTATGCTATGAAACGGGGAGGAGGCTCTCTGTGTCACAAAGTGGGTCGGAGAAAGTCATTGTCACTGTGATTGAGCAGTTACTGATGAGGCTTCCTTGTCATTGCAGAGGCGAGTTCAAGGACCCCACATCTAATCAGTGAGTCACATTTACTGTTGCTTCTTTATCTTCATTCCTCATTTGTGTGTCTTCCTCTGCCCCCCCTCCTGGTGCTTGGAGTGTCATAGTTTGATCTCTGCTTCATATTTTTCCTAATTTCCTGCATCTTTCCAGCTAGCCGAGAGATTCTGTCTGTACATGTTTTGCACAAGCATAACGCCCATTCACCATAGAACCAAGTTCCACATACCAACCGTTGGGTGTCTGTAAATTGGTAATTGCCAATTTGATTTCTTAATTCCTTGCTTTTATCAAAAACAGTGAGACACACCTAATCAAGCCCTGCACACTTAGGGAAAGTTAACAAAACAGAAGCACATGGAAGAAATGGCTTTTTCCCTAGAGGGGCACCATACATATTTGCATTCTGGAACAGAATGGCACAATTTAAGTGTCATATTCCCAGTGACTGGACAGAAAGGAATATTGCTTCTGTTGGATCCTACATGTCTGAGGAACAACATAAACAGAATGCGATTTGGGAGGCCCCTTATTGTAAAGATGCAAGGGAGAATGAATCAACCAGAATCTTGGTATTTAAGGGATGCTGCCATCTTGACCCTTTTTATCTGACGGGTGTCGTCTTGTATTCACAGCAATCCCAACAGCAACACCCAAGACAGTGATAGCAAGACCAGGTAAGCCCTGGGATGCATGCATTCACTTACCAACTATCCTTTCCTCTTGGAACCTGCATCTGTACCTGCTTCAGGGGCAGAAACTGGACCAACTGCGTGTACTTCATCTATTTGAAAAATGGACCAGTTGACTCTATGCATATTTTTAGGACCATCCAAAACTCTTGGGATCCTTTAGCTCTAGAATCATGAGCAAAGTTCTTTTTTATTTTTTGGTGTTTTTCAGAGTCTTCAAAGCCTGACCAGCTTCCAGGTGCCTTCTAGTGGGGCTCTCTATATTTTTTTTATCTGGCCAGTCTTGCTCTTGTTAACCTGTATCTGTGTAACTAATGGGCTTTTTCAAAGTGAGTGGAGCGTCAAAGTTATTCCAGAGGCAGTGAGATAGAATAGCAGAGAAAAACAGTGAACTTTGGAACCAGGAGAGCTGACTTTAGATCTGCTACATCCCATATGTGGGATTTTGGGTGAATAGTTTCACTTCTCCGACTTAAAGTCTCCTCATGGATAGAAGTGGCGTGCTGGTACTCTTCCGCCTGCCTTCTGAGTTATTACAAAGGTGAAGATGAGCACATACACGCCCACCCATTCTAAGGCACTCCACAAAGCCACAAATCACTGTGAATATTATATATAATGTTTTTCTGTACTTAGCTGAAATAGATTGGCACATTCCTCTGGCCCAATACATACTCGATTAATGAATGTTTTAGGCTAAATGTAATTTTGACTATCTTAATTGCATATTAACCTCCAAGTAAGAGGTTGACCAGTTGGCTGGCTCTTTTATCAAGTTCCCTTCCCTAATAGAAGTGTCAGGGTGGAGAGCGTAACCAGTTCATGGGCAAAGTGTAGTGTCCCTAGAAGACAATGATCACCAGGTCTCTGTCTGCAGGGGACTGGCCAGAGCTAAGGCTGGTGGGCGGCTCGGGACACTGCTCAGGACGCGTAGAGGTCCTCCACCGGGGGGCCTGGGGCACCGTGTGTGATGACCTCTGGGACCTGAACGAAGCCGAGGTCGAGTGCCAACAGCTGGGGTGTGGACAGGCCGTGTCCGCCCTGGGGAAGGCCCACTTCGGCCCGGGCTCTGGAAACATCTTCCTGGACAACCTGCAGTGTTCCGGGGTAGAGCGCTACCTGGGCCAGTGTGCCCACTCGGGCTGGTCGGAGCACAACTGTGGCCACCACGAAGATGCCGGCGTCATCTGCTCAGGGAGCCCCTCCCCTCTCAGTTGGTCATTGCCAGTCCCACTGTCTACAAGACCACCCTGCTAGAACTCAGAGATGGCCAGGGACAAAGACAGGGCCCTCAAACACATGGCATTTGATTTTTGCTTTATCTCTTCTAACCTGGTCAAAAATACAAGATTTTGTGTGCCTGGGTGGCTCAGTTGGTTAAGTGATTGCCTTTGGCTCAGATCATGATCTTGGAGTCCTGAGATCGAGTCCTGCATCCGGGCTCCCTGCTCAGCAGGGAGTCTGCTTCTCCCGCTGACCTCTCTCCTCTCATGCTCTCTCTCACAAATAAATAAATAAAATCTTAAAAAAAAAATACAATATTTTAACTGCCAGCCTCCCAGAATAAAACCTACTGATTTTCTAATTTGGTAGTAAGATTTACCAAAGGCAGGTGGGCTTGACTGAAAACTAACATGTGCGAAGAACATATTTAACTACGGGAATGTTTAAGGAATTTACGTAAAAGTCTTTCATTCAGAGGCAGTGAGAAGACGTCAGAGCTGAGGTGAACAGACTAGAGTCTGGATGCCAGAGCTGGTGCCGACACTCAGACTGCATTTGGGCAACACATAAGCTCTTAGAGCCTCAATTCCCCCGTCTTTAATAATGGGGGCTGATGGCTCTCTTGCAGGAGTGCGGAAAGGCTTTGAGCCGTCTTCCGTAACGCACTTTCAGACACCTGACCAAAGGGCTGCATATCCGGTCATTTTTCCTGCCGTCTTCCTCACTCAATTCCCCATGGAAATCGGTGGACTGGAATGGCTCACTTTAATCACCCCATGACGTTACAATTTTTTCAGATACTTTGAATTTATGCATGTGCACAAATTAGCAAGGAGCAAGGTAGTCACCTCTGGAACATCTACTAATAACCCCTTCCAACCCCAAGAAGCCTTTCGGCAGACCAGTGCCTGGTGAGGTTTAAAAGATTAGTACCTGCCACTCCAAGTGGTGTTTGTGATCTGGAGCTGCCCCGGGAGAAGCAGTACCCCCGCTCTCCAATCTGAGACGATACTTACACGCACATGCTTTGCTCCCTTCATCTGTCCGTTTGCTTCTGGGCGTCCTGTTCCATGCGGCAAGACTGACCTAGCCGCAGCCTCTCGGGCCCCCTGTGATTCCTCTTTCCCGGGTTCTGGAGGGTGATCATCTACATCTGAGCTGCCCCCAGTGACTCCCCAGAGTGAAACCCGTCCGCTACAAAGTCAGCAGTTCAAGTCGGGCCCCATACGCGCCCTTCGTGGCTGGCCGCTTCCTCACGGTGCAGGAGGCAACCAACAGCCCGAGAAAAGCTCTCCTTTATGTCCACGATGCACCTGGCTCGCCCAGGCCTGTGTTATTTAACGGGACTAATTCTTCCCAGATCAGAGCAATAAACTCTTGCAAGGATGTAGTTCAAACCTTTGTAGTCAGTCTCTGAAAGCAGGAGCTCTGAAACATACTGACATATTTATTCTTTCTACAAACAGAGGCTGATGAGTCGCTCATGGAGAGTCCAGGTAGGTCATGCTCACCTTGATGGGACTCGAGCATTAGCTCTCCCTGACTTTTCCTTGGGCCGTTTGTTTTCTTCCAGCTCTAAGTTCACTCTCTGTCTGAATTGCCGAGGTTTTCACACCACTGAGATGCCAATGGAATTATTTCTATTGAAATTTTTGCATATGGGGATGGCTCTGTGTGTGCGTGTGTGTGTGTGTGTGTGCGTGCGTGTGTGTGTGTGTACATGTGAATCTGTATTTTTGGATATCCGTGCATGAGGAAACAGCATGTCAGTGTCTTTCTGCATATGCTCTTCTCTCTGGCTCAAAGGCCTTCCTCACCCCACCTCCTCCCTCGCCCACTCCTCACTGTCTGGATTCTTTCCAGGTGTCGCCTCTAGCCTGTTGGTGACGCAGCACCTGTTCCTCCCCTTCCATGTTTTTATCACACCGAGGAATAGCACCTTGTCCCGGTGTCTATATTTGATTAAAGGACTTTAGGCACCCCAAGGGCAGGAACCGTATTTCTTTGGTTTATAGCAGTATCTTCAATGTCTAACAGGAAAGACAATAAATTCCTTTGAAATCAGGTTACTGGTTCAAGACCCACCCCCACTCCCCCGCCCACAACCTGCAGCTCAGGAACACGCCTCAGGAAGGTGAGGACCAGGCCCCAGGATTCACGATCAGGCATGTCCCTCTGCAAACCCACAGTCCTGCTGGCCTCTGAGGCCTGGCACCGATGCAACACAGGTTGGTCATCTGTGCACTCACGCTCTCCCCTACCTCTGTCTGCAGGGGACTGGCCAGAGCTAAGGCTGGTGGGCGGCTCGGGACGTTGCTCAGGACGCGTGGAGGTCCTCCACCGGGGGGCCTGGGGCACCGTGTGTGATGACCTCTGGGACCTGAACGAAGCCGAGGTCGTGTGCCGACAGCTGGGGTGCGGACAGGCCGTGTCCGCCCTGGAGAAGGCCCACTTCGGCCCGGGCTCTGGAAACATCTTCCTGGACAACCTGCAGTGTTCCGGGGTAGAGCGCTACCTGGGCCAGTGTGTCCACTCGGGCTGGTCGGAGCACAACTGTGGCCACCACGAGGACGCCAGCGTCATCTGCTCAGGTAGCCCCTCTCCTCTCAGGCAATCACATCTAACATTGTTATTGAAGACATTTTGAAACCATGCATCCCAGATGGAATCTACCCATCCGCCCACTCACTCATGGTTTCATGAAACCATCCTTGAGCGTCTGCTCTGCGCCAGGCCCTGGGCTCACACACACCCTTGCGCAGCGCCAGGCTGCACGTGGGAGGTCTCAAATGTTCACATACCCCAGCACCGCCCAAGGCATTGCAGTGCAGAGTCCTGGACTCTGGCCCCAGAAATCTCGACTAATTTGGGAAGGGATGTCGGAATCTACATTTTCACAAGTAGTCCAGGTGACTCAGCAGAAGACGGGCCATGGGTGATCCTGCACTCCTTGCCGTGGGGCAGAGATGACCCCTGTGCTGTGCCCCACCCCTCTCAAGGCCAGGGACCCTGCCAGAGGACGGCTGAGTCCTGTGCCCCGAAAGGCCAGGGTCCTCTCTCCTCATTCCCCGCTTGTACCCTCGTTACCCCGCCCCCTCCATGCTTTGGATTCACTAAAGAGAGTGACCTGTTGCCTTTCTTTACGCATTCAGATGCAGAAGAACTGCCTCCCCCCACACCTCCAGGTATGTCCATTTTTTTTTCTAGTCTGGACAACTTTCCGATAATAATAATAGTATCAAACTCACTGTTTTGAGCCCCTCACATATACAACTAATTTAATCCCACAATAACACATGGAGGCAATTACTTTTCCAGATAGGTAAACTGAGGCAAAGAAAGTTAGCAGTGTACCCAGGGCTAGCCAGTGGATTTGAACCCTTGGCCACCAGTCTCATTGACCATATCCTTTCATTGGCCCCGGCTCCACAAAGATCAGGTAAAATTAGCACAAAGATAGGGAGACATTTTGCTCAGATTATTGCTAATCCTGCAAAACATCCTTTGCTTTACAGAAGAGAAATTTGAGGCACAGAAAGGGTGAGTAACTTTCCTGAGATCACTCAGCAAGTTAGTGGTGGAACGATTATTGACACTGATCAGTCTGTCCACGAAGTACATGCTCATGGGGATCCTATGACTTTTGCCTGTTTTCAAAGATTTTCAAACTTAAGGACTAAATGATATTCATCTGTAATAAAAACCAAAGATTAGAAAAATCAGAGCAACACATGCATTGTAAACTCCAAAATGATACTGGAGGTAAAGGAAAAGGCATTTTGTTTCATTGCAATAGATGTTTCTGAGCACCTGCATGGGAGCAGGAATGATCTCTGTATGAATACATGTATCTAATTCTCAGAGCTGAGGGTTAAGGAGATCCAAAAGCCTGCCGAAGATAACTCAGGTAGAAAGTAGTGGAACTGGGAGCACCTGGGGGGCTCAGTCAGTTAAGCATCCACCTCTTGATTTCAGCTCAGGTCATGATCTCAGGATTGTGGTATCGAGACCCATGTCTGGCTCTGCGCTCAGCAGGGAGTCTGCTGGAGCTTCTCCCTTCCTCTCCCTCTACCTCACTGCCAACTTGTGCATGCTCTCCGTTTCTCTCTCAAGTAAATGAATAAATAAATCTTCAGGAAAGAGAGAGAGAGAGAAGGGGGGGAAAAGCAGCAGAAGTGGACTTTGCAGACCCCATCTCTTGCTCTTTGAATGAACGTGGCTGCCTCCACATACACAAGTCATAAGTCATTGTCAGAAGCATCTCTCTTGGACACTTTCTTAGAGAAGACCTTGATGCGTTCTGGGTGTTCCTGGGATGAGTGGGAAGGAAGACCGTCCAAAGTTCAAAGGCCATGGATGGAGGTCAAGGGCAGGGGATAGTCAAATGAAGGCCTACCTAGAGTTCTCATTTTATATAACTCAGCTATGCTGAAGACTACATAGATAATGGGGAGATGAGGAAGACCATGTTGAGTGAAAGGAGCCATTCTGGTTCTCTGTTGCTACTCTAAAAACAGAGTAGTTTACTACAACAGTCATTTAATGACGTGTTTGTTGTTGTGGGTCAGGAATTTGGGCAAGGCTCAGATGGGAGATTATTCTGCTCCATGTAGCTCTAAGCAGGGTCACTCAGTGGGGTTCACCTATAGGGTGGTCTGAAGAGTTGAGCACATGCTAGATGCTTGGAGGAGACAGCTGGAGGGGTGGGCTCCTCCAAGGCCCTCTTCCCCTCCGGTGGTCTCGGGACTTTTTCACACGGTCTTTCCAGCAGGCTAATCATTCTTACAAGGTGGTTCCAGGTGCACAAGTGAGCCAGTGTTTCCAGAGACAAGAAGTGGAAGCCTCCGGTCCCACAGTGTCACTTCCACCATATTCTGTTGGCCAAAACAGAGGCCACCCAGGTTCAAGCAAGGAGACCTAGATCAAACTTCGTGACAGAAGGCATGTCCAAGAATGTGTGGCCTTCTTTAATCTGCCCCAGTATAATAGAAATATTCACTCAGCACCTTCAGACCTTTCTCAGTTGGCACTAAGTACCTTGACATTTCAGAGAAAACCCTTTACATTTCACTAACTTGTAGATGAAACACAGTACTTCTCCCCTGAATGTCAGCATGATCTCCCTTTTTCTTTTCCTTCTAGGTCTTTCCACAGCTTCTCAGGATCATATAACAGGTAGTCACTTGTTTAAACTGTGATGGTAACTCAACACCAAGAGAACCGTCATAGCAGATGCTAGACAGAGTGCCCAGGGTGTGACACAGAGAGGCAGGCACAGCACAAGTGAGGGGCTGCTTGTCTACCTCCCAGGCCAGTCCTGTCATGGCCCTTTCCATGAGAACGCCAAGGGAGTCAGCATCCCAGCCAATGCAGCCCCTCTGTTCCCACTATAGCCTCCCCAAGGGGCATGCATTTGCATGACTAAGGCCTGTAAATATTGACTTGCTAGCCCAAGGGGCAGGCTGGGAAAGGGATATGTGGATCTGCCCAGGTCAGAGTAGGCGGGAGGGTGACAAGGGACCTGAAGAGAATGTGGTGGTCATACCCAGCCTGCCTTCTAAGAGTGCAGTCCTGGAGGGAGCACCCACAGTGGGTGTCAGCTCACGAGTAGAGGTTTCAAGAAAACCAGTCCCAGGGTTCTCGTGTCTGTCTGACCTGGCCCAGTTGTAACTACAACACGACTAACAGGATAGCTCCAAGCTGACTTGGTGCACCCCTACTTGCCAACATCTGTCACATTGAAGACCAAGAATCTTGGAATTCTGAGAGCATGGCAAGTTAGTCAGGCAAAAACAGAAAGGAGAAAATTAAGCAACTTGGTAATTTAGGAAACAAGGTCAACAACTCATGTTGTGTTTTCAAATTTCCTCTAAAATAATTTGATGATTCTAAGATCTCTGGTTTTTTCTGTGGCATGCTGCGTGTGTGTGTGCACGTGTGTGTACATATGCATGTGTATTGATTTATATGAATATATTTTATATAACATAAATAATATATATACAAATATAATTTGTATCTATTTATATGAATATAATATATTGTATATAATATAAATAATATAAACATATATAATATATTTTACATAATATAATATAGAAGAATTAGATTTCACTTATGTAACTCTTACAAATCCAAAGACCTGTAAGTTCCAGTCTCTGTAGATACTGAGTTAAAGGAAACACAATCTACCCAGAAAAGGGGGTGAAAAAGAACTTAAGGGGACGGCCAGTCATAGCCTCCTTCAACAGGCCACGTCGTCCCCTTCTCCCCAGCTCATCAGACACCAAAGTTGTTCTGGAGCCTCTTGTTCTGCAAAACTTCCCAAACTCTCACTTTACCTAGGCTCAACAGCGTCTGTCCCTTCGTCCTTCCTTCCCAATTCACCATGTAGATCCTCTCTGCCTCTCTCCCCACAAGCAAGAATCTTTCCACCTTAGAAGAATGAGGGGATAGTGAATAGACCTGAAAAATATAATATTTTCTTTAGCAGAGGGTAAGGGGAGAGGAAAAGACAGGGACCTCCCATATATTGATATTCTTGTTGCATCAGAATGAGATCGAATGGACTCTCCCTCCCTGGAGACGTTTAGGCTAAAAGTCTATACAGACAGACTGTGTGTGCCCACTGGGGGGACCACTGCCTGACTCACCCAGGTGTGAGTGGGTGATGACTGGGGTCCCCTAGGGGCCACCTCAGGGACACATGCTGGCATCCTTCTTCCTCTGGCTTCAGGAGGAAGTGACTCCTGTGGAGGGGTCTTGTCGAGTCTGTCCGGCTCCTTCTCCAGTCCACTGTACCCGGAAAGCTACCCGACAGACATCCAGTGCGTCTGGGAGATTCACGTGGACAAAAAATTCCGCATAGAACTCATGATTCCGACTTTGAAGTAAGAAAACAACTTTTTCAGAGAAGATTCTTTTTAAATAAGTGTATTGGTTTGTGAATTCAAAATAAAGTTATTTCTTTTAGTGGGAAACATTTGGGGAGGAAATTCTTCCCAATTTGAAGGTCAAATTAATTTTGTAGCCCTATCCAACGCGTTCCTTCTACTTGGAAAAACTGAGTAAATGGTTTACTGACAAATTCAACTCAACCTCATGAGGATAGCTTTTTCTTTTGACTTTTTTCCTAAGAATGTCACCCAAGTCCTCCTTACCAGCTTTGCCCTTGTTATACAATGGGTACCAATACTTAGGCTCTTAGAATTTCTTTTTCCTTTTTCTGAATTTTAAACAAGCAGTAGGAGGCTTCCCATTCACCCACATGAGCCGCCTACTCCAGCCCCAAGCCCCGGATCTTCTCAATGTTGCCTCTAAGTGAAAGGAGCCAGAGGAAGCCTGGACTTATCTCTGACACACAGGGGATTCATCTCTCTCAGGCACTGACTTTTTTTTTTAACCTCCACGGCATGAAATAACAGCCGACATTTCTTTTAGTGTTGCCTGTGCATCCAGGCTCTGTACTATGTATTTTGTTTTGTTGGTTTTTTTTTTTTTAGATTTTATTTATTTATTTGATAGAGAGAGACACAGTGAGAGAAGGAACACAAGCAGGGGGAGTGGGAGAGGGAGAAGCAGGCTTCCCGCTGAGCAGGGATCCCAATGTGGGGGTTCGATCCCAGGGCCCTGGGATCACGACCTGAGCCGAAGGCAGACACTTAACGCCTGAGCCACCCAGGCACCCCTGCACTATGTGTTTTGTATGCCTTGTAATATTCCAGCATCACTACAGCCCAAGGGTATATGCCCCTGTCATCTCCATGAGAGATGAGGAGCTTGAGGCTCAGAGATGGTAACTGACTGGCCCAAGGCTGACCAGCTAGGTCTGTCCAGTGTCAGAGCTCCAGCTTTTCCCCAGCATGTGATTCTGTGGGCGGAGTCTGGCCCAAGCCCTCCCTGTTGTATATGACATGCTTCAAGCTGCTGACATTATGCAACATTATGAGATGCTATGAAAATCCAGCTTTAGCACACACTGACTTACTGCCCGGTCCGTGGAGTCAGGCAGGCCCTAGGCCAAAGAATATCCTAGAAACGTGTAATCTTTGTTGACTAAAACCCTAAGGACTCAGAGAGCCCACGAGGAAGTGAGAACCTTGAGCCCACACCTCCAACGTCCACTCTGTTACAGGGAATTTGTTCCTTCAAAATCAGCCTCAGGCACGTCCCTCATCAGTGCCCGCCAAAGTGCTGACACTCAACAAGCTGACATTTTTACTTTAAAATCGAGTTTTTTCTCTCCAAGAATTTGAGTATGGAAAATGTTGTGAAATAGAGAGGTGGGAGAATCTGGCCGTGATGTTGGTTACACGCTGATCGTTGAGGGACTGGTCTGGTAAGAATTCATTGGCCGTGGACACCAGCACTTTTAATATTCCATGGAGATGGTGACTGGCCAGAGCCATTAGGATTTTTAAATTTCTGTTCCTAAGTCATAACCACAGTCACCACAAGCCTCCCACAATCCTCAGACGAAATAAGACTTCTGTAATAAGGCATCTGCAGTTTACTGATACTTTCTGTATGAATATGCAGTTTAAAGTGAATCCAAATATTTAATCCTATGGTTGTCACACTTTTTTTAAATTTTAAGATCTAGGAGGTTTGAACCTGCCACTAACCCTCCACTTCGATACCCCCAGCCTGGAGGATATCCTTGGATGCCCCTACGACTCCATTGAAATCTTTGATGGCCCCAGGATTGCCTCACTGTCCATGGGGAAGTTCTGTGCCTCGGTGGCTGTGATATTTTTCTCCTCCTCAGACATCATGACCGTGGTGTTCCGAAGTGATTCTATGATCACCAACACTGGCTTTTATGCTCTGTTCAATGTAATTCCACAGGGCGAAGGAAAATCAGGTAGGAAGCTTCCGGTCCTTAAAAGGCAGAACAGTTTTCTAACTTGAGAGACTCCCCTGTTCGCAGAGGCCTGGGATTCACTTTTTAAAACACCCCACAATTGACCCCATAAGCCCTGCTGTGTAGCTGTTAGATTTTCCCACTAAGAGCATCATGTGGGCAATTGAAATCAGGCAGTGGTGTGAGGCTGAAATGACACGATGATTTGGGGGTAATGGTAGCACCTGGGAAGACCTTTCTCACTGTTGCCTCTAAGGGGAAGAAGCTTTAAATGTGTAGATGAGAAAGGAGCTTTAAGTGTGTAGAGCCTGGGGGACAGAAGAGAATGCCTGAGTGGGGAGGGTGCTCCTGCGGCTTGAGTGGGAACGGATGACCTTGCTCAGGGGACATGTGATGGGTGACAACGAGGAGGCATTCTAGGCAGAGAGAATAGCAAATACAAAGGCTCTTGAGGATATGCTGGAGAAACAGAAACCAAAGTGAGTGTGGCAGAACTTGTGAACTCGGTAAGGGAAGGTCTCCAGGAAACAGCATGCTGTTCCAGCTGGCCACAGCCCATTAGCCCAGAAATAGCCATCCCCATGGGGCTTTATGAAGTCCTAGACAGGCTGGTGGCCCAAGTCCTTCAAAGCATTAAATTGACATTTACCCAAGTGACATCCAAAAACACAGTTGGGGACCCCTTCCTCCAGGGCCCCAGGATTGTGTCAGAGACCCACACGGTAAGACCTGCAGAAACCAAGATGTGCTGGGTGCTGAGCACTGTGCTTTGTATCCACACTCCCACGCACTCATCACCCCTCTGAGATGCATGCTGCTGGAGTCCCCATTTTACAGATGAGGAAACTGAGGCCCAGGGAGATAAAACAACTTGTCAAAGGTTACACGACTAGAGAGCAGTAGAGCTGAATTCAAACCCTCTTCTGTCTCACCCTTATGCCTGGAAGCCCTATTAATGAATAAGACAGCCTTGGGCTTTGTTCTTGCCTTTATTTACCTGAGACACAAATGCAGGAGCTAGAAATCCTTCCTACTTAAAACTTCCCAAGTTTAAAACCAAAACCCTGCTCTATTTAGAAGATGGACCCGAGCTGCGGCTGGTGGGCGGATCTGGGCAGTGCTCCGGACGCGTGGAGGTCCTCCACCAGGGGAACTGGGGCACCATATGTGATGACCTCTGGGACCTGAACGAAGCCCAGGTGGTGTGCCGACAGCTGGGGTGCGGACGGGCCATTGCAGCCCCTGGGAAAGCTCACTTTGGCCCAGGCTCCGGAAACATCCTCCTGGATAACATCCAGTGTTCGGGAAGCGAGAACCACCTTGGCCAGTGCGCCAGCTCTGGCTGGTCAGACCACAACTGTGGCCACCATGAGGACGCAGGTGTCATCTGCTCAGGTAGCTCCCCCCCCAGGGCGCGTTCTTTCTGACCTTTCGACCAGCGGAATTTGAGTGATGGATGGAGGGTATGCACAGAGCAGGGCCAGGGGAGCTGAGAACGGCAGCCCCACAGATGAGCGTCCCCAGGCTGACAAAGAATGCTGAGAGCCTGACTCCCCTCTAAAGCAATGCATACCAGAGCCATTCAGTTGGCAGGTCCTTTTCTCTGCAACCTCTCCCGGGTCCGAGCTCCTTTTCCAGAATCTAACATGCCCGTGTTCCTATTTATGTAACATGAAGCTTACCTGTTTAAGACCCCCTCACACTAAGAACCCACCACTTGTCTTCATAAAATGTAACTTAGATTTCCTAAATTTACCTTTTTTTTTTTAAATTCATGCAGATGCTGGGGCCTGGGCTCCAGATGTGATCCCCACATCTCCAGGTAGGTCCCATACCTCGAACTTCTAATATCTCTGCAAAGTGAATAAGAAATCTAATCTGTCTTGAGCTAGACGCTGCTGGACAGTGACCTAGACACTGATCTCCCAGGGAGCTTTAATCCTTGATGTCAGGCTACGCCCAGACCAGTCACATCAGAATCTCTGGGCTCACACCAGCCCGACTGGTCATCAGTAGTATGTAAAGCCTCCCATGTGATCCCAACATGCAGCAAGTTGAGAGCCAGTGGCTGGGACAGTAAGCTAAGAGCCAAATTTCCCAAATGAGATGGCATGCAAAACTCCCTTCTGGACAGAAACGCAAGGATGGACAGGAGGGGAAAGGGGGAAGAAGTTCCATCTCCGTGGCTGAGAAGAGGGTCAAGATGGAGAGGAGAGAAGGTAAGAAGGTTTGCCTTCCAAGAACATGAGTTGGAAAATGAGAGAATGGGAGAAAACACAGATGAGTCTATGCCGCACTCTCCCAGTGGGTCAAGAACAGGCTGAGCGTGAGAAGTGAAGCCATTTGGGGCTACTCTGGGAGACTTTGGACTTCGCCGATAACTCAGGAGTAGAGAAGGGTACACGTCTGGTTACCGACAACGAGTCAGTGTGTGGCAGTGACCTCCAAACTCAAGACTCCGGCGATATCTGAGCACATGTGGTCCTGCCTCCTGCAGCCGCTGGTCTTTCCTGGACAGGCTCTCAGCAGCCCACTTCCCCACCTGCCGGCGCCCTGGGCCCCATCCAGCCTCCTCCCCAGCCCTCCACAGTGGCTAATTCCACCCTCTGCCTTCACCAGGGGCCTGGGTGTGGGGAAGGTCAAGGTTGAGGTGCACCCTGCAGGGTTTGGGGGCTGGGCAAGGTGGCTAGCAGCCTCTCCCTGCCAGGGTCTGGCACCACTGTGGCACACTTGGAAGGACACTTGGTGGGAGGTCCTTTTACCTACTCCAGTACAGATCTCAAGGGCATCCCAGGTGGAGGTCGCCGTGCCTTGGAGACTGCCCACCTCATGTAGGATGCAGAAGTGAACCTACAGGAAGGGGCAGTTGACTTCCCCAGCTCCAGCTGAGGCCCCACATTTTCATTTTGCATGAGGACCCACAACGCATACAACAGGTGGGGGGGTGTTAGAGCCCACAGAACCATTTCTCAGGGACTGACAAGCAGCTACCTCCCTTTGGTGGCCTCTGGCTTTTCTTTTCTTTCCCAGTGAGGAATCTCCCCGAGTCTGGAGCCAGAGAGGAGGAGGGGGAGGGAGAACCCGGCTTCTGGTTCCTCAGACGGCTCTGTGCCGAGCCCGCTCGCCATCTAGGGTTGCAGACCTCAGAAGGCTCTTCTCTCTTTTCTCCCTGCTACGGTATTCCTTTTCTGAGACAGGTGTGCATAGCCCACTGAATAAGAGAAGGCATCATGGAATAAAAGACAGTACAGGGGAAAATGAAATCTTTATGTCAAGTACTATCCACCTACGGGTGAATCACTTCTCCATAAAGCATTATGTATTTGCAGGGACACACACAAAATAAGACTTTTGCCATTTAACTCTCTCAGGGAAACACTGCATCTCAAACATTTTAACAAAAGGGAATTGCCTCTTTTTTTAAAGATTTATATATTTATTTGAGAGAGAAAGAGGGAGAGAGAGTGCGAGCGGCTAGAGATGCAGAGGGAAAGGGAGGAGGAATCTTAGGCTGACTCCTCGCTGAACACGGAGCCAGACGTGGAGCTCAGTCTCACCACCCCGAGATCACGACCCCGAGATCACCACAAAAGGGAATTGCTTCTGAGACAAATTTATGTCAGAAGAAATTTACTCCACTGCTGTCCTGCACCCTTCCTGGCGAAGGACTGAGAAGGAAGGACAGCAGAGGGGTTGCTGTCCTCACTGCTCTGCGGCCCAGGAAGGACCACGGAGACAAAGACGAGCTCAAATGCACCTGACCCATAGGCTTCAAACTCCGTGCCCACTAATCCCTGGTGTAAAACTCTGACAAGCACCTGCTTTCAAAACCTGCCCTGTCCTCGACCTGCCAGGCAGTGGTGCCTAAGGACACATCTAGAATACAGAAATACATGCTTCACAGAAATCAAAGCCAAAAGGACGCCAGAAAGGAGGAAGCTCCCCCACCCAACCCCCGGGGGCCCGACGACCTCAATGGAAGGCTTGTCCTTTCCCCGCCCAGGCTCTTGGCTGTCTGGTTTTTGTCCTTTGTCCCTATGCATTTCTGCACGTTCTGCAGTGGTGTGCGCTCATAAGCCCAGTGATGTTACTGTGGGTGACACCTCGTGACTGATCGATCTCAGGACAGCCCGGGGCTTGGTGGACCCTAAGACAGAAGAGAAAGCAAGTCACGTAGCTGTGCGTTGTCTGTGGTTTCTTGGTGAATCACTGAAAGAAGGGGAGAGAAAAGAGAAATGAGGGAGCCCAGTGTAGTGGGCTCAAGGTAGTAACAGGTGCATTCATGTGTATGTAACGGTAAGATGCTTTTGTGATGCTGAGCTCCTTCCTGATCTTCTTTGGTTTCAGTGTTTGCAGCTCCCATCCCTCAAGGGCCTCCACCTCAAGGTAACTCTCTTTCATTGAAAGTATAACCTGTCGAGGATGGAATCAGTCTTGGTAATTCATGAGAGCAGACTAGATGTCCGCCTGTCCTGGCTGCCTGAGGGGAAGGAATCAATGGGACGGAGCCCTCGGGGAAGGAGGGATGGTCTACGCGGAATTGAGCCGGTTTGCACGGCAGGAAGCTGGGCATTAATGATATAGAGCGTTAATGATATATCAGCTGGACACCCCACACCTGCCATGGACATGTCCCATCCCATTTCCAGTCTCACCTACAATCATGGGGTCCTGCCCTGGTACCAGCCACACATCTTTTCTTCCCCTCATTCCCTCTCAGGGGTACAACCACACACCAGCCAAGCTACAACAATGTCTACACCACCATGATCCTTTCCCATTTTGCGATTCCCTGTTGAGCTTGATGGATTTCTGGATTCTACTCCTGGGAAAAGACAAGGTGCACGCCTGGGAGCCAACCAGTGGTCTCTTGTCTGCCCACAGAAGGAAGTAACTCTTGTGGAGGACTAATTTCAGGCCTCTTGGGCTCCTTCTCCAGTCCTTGGTATCCAACGAACTACCCCACTGACATGGAGTGCATCTGGGTGATACGTGTGGCTGAGAAGTTCCACATAGAACTGGTGGTCCCAAGCCTGAAGTAAGCAGCTTTGCCTTTTTCTACTTTAATGTCCCTCGTGCCCCTACTAAGAGTTTTCTTTCCCAGATTAACCAGCCTCAATTCATTCATTCCTACTTCTTTCTCTACCTGTACCCATCTTTAAAGGAATGTATCCTATTTTAATGCACATTTATATGCATATATATTTACATATTCATATACACATCCATATACCCGAGTCACTTTTTAATGGAAGTGTTGCTTTTCTTGATAATGTTGAACCTGGTTCCATGTTTCTACATCAGGTCCCATCTGGGTCATTCCCTCTTCCTGACATCGTTCACAGTCTGTGCCAAACCTCCACCACTGTTCCCACCCCGGCGTGTCAGCCTCAGGCGTCCAGGAGCGGGATGATTAAATGCTGTCCTCAAAGGGGAAGTAGGTCTGCAGCGGAGTGAGGGATGCATCCGACCGTTTTACCCGATGGCCAAAGTTCCTTTCAAAGGGGGAGAACAAAAACCAGTATCAGGGAGCATTGCCTATTGTGAGGGAAATGTATTTTTCATTCCTTCCTTCCATACCCATGAATTCAGTGAAAGCAAGGTGAGCAGATTTGGTACGGTGGATGCAAATCTATGAAACCCACAGTTCTATGACTTGGGGGCTCAGAGCGTCGTTTTGTCACTTCGGGACGGTGCTTACTGCAAACAGCTGTACTGACCCACTCTTCCCACGGTCTCAAGGTGACTTTCCCAACATAAATTTCCTACTATAATTTCAGGGTTTACAAATCAAGGAGCTGCTTCCTGTGTTGCCTACAGTCAGAGCTTAGTTACTGACTTCCAGGTTTTGATGTTTTTAAGCCTAGAATTATTGATATTTGCCTTTTGTGTCTAAGGACACGAAGTTAGTTATTTTGCACCAGTGAGGCTCAGCTGACAAGGACAGACCCCATGGGACATCTGGCCGTGCCTGGAGGCATTTTTTCATTGTTCAGGTGGGGGCAGGGAGTACCAGAGTCACACAGTGGGTGGAGGCCAGGGACGCGGCTAAGTGTCCTGCATTTCCCAAGACAGCCCCCACGACAAAGAAATCTCCAGCCCCAGATGTGGATAGCTCTGAGACTGAGAACCCCTGCTTGAAGCTTGCATTGTTTGGGTTTTGTTTTGTTTTTTTCTATTTCAGCTTCTATGCGGAACTGTCTTCACACTCGATCTGCAAAAATTACATCCATATTTAAAATATGCCATTTCATTCTTGCTAAGTCAAGTGTGTCCTGTTCTCGTGAAATCATTTCTCAGATTGCAGTGTCTTCTGTTGTGGTCACACTGTTGTTGCCCTACACATAAATGTTATCCTTTATTTTCTTACTTTAAAAATGGGTCATGGGGCGCCTGGGTGGCTCAGTGGGTTGAAGCCTCTGCCTTCGGCTCAGGTCATGATCCCGGGGTCCTGGGATCGAGCCCCGCGTTGGGCTCTCTGCTCAGCAGAGAGTCTGCTTCCTCCTATCTCTCTCTGCCTGCTTCTCTGCCTACTTGTGATCTCTGTCAAATAAAGAAATAAAATCTTTTTAAAAAAAATGGATCATGGGGCTCCTGGGTGGTTCCGTCGGTCGGGCATCTGACTCTTGATTTCAGCTCAGGTCATGATCTCAGGGTCCTGGGATGGAGCCCTGTGTTGGGCTCCATGCCCCGCAGGGAGTCTGCTTGCGATTGTCTCTCCCTCTCTCTGCCTGTTCCCCCTACTAGCTCGTGATCGCCCTCTCTCTTTCCTTCTCTCTCGCTCCCTCTCAATAAAAAGTTGGGGGAAGGGGTTGTTTTGAGGTTCTTGGCTCTTCCTTCATTGGAATAGATGCGTGCTCAATAAACTGGTTTTCAAATTCGGTGAATCTATAACATGTACAAGTGTAACTGTGTACGTCTTACACAATGAGCCCCTACAATGCATGCCTCAAGGGTCACTTACTATTGTTTTAATGTCAACATGCACACTTCCCATTTTTATCCTGTTAGATTAGAGCTGATATTCTTTACAGTATATTTATTGAACGTGCTTTCTGTGCAGGCCCTGGTCTAGGAGCAGACTTCTAGTGTCAAACAAGACAGGTCTCTATCCTCATGGAGGATATATTCTCGATGGAGACACAAATAGTACTTGAATAAACCAGTAGTAACTCAGGGGACAGGTCCCATTAGTGTTAAGTTGATATGTGCTATGAAGAAGAATGTTTATACATATATGGTATAGATAGAGATAGGTATAGATAGATAGGTAAAGATGGTATAGATAGAGATATCCTACAGATAGGATGGAGAATAGAGGGGGTGAGGACCGCATTTGGTAGGATGGTCAGGGACAGCTTGTCTGAACATCCAGGTTGGAACCGGACGGTCTGGGGCATGGGAGGGAAGATTCCTACTCAGCAGGCCCTGGGAGTTTTGACAGGAGGCACCATTTCTCCCTGCTCCAGATCCCATTATGTGTTTTACTCAATGAGACCCTATGGATGCCTGCCCCCACCCCAGGGAGTGGCAGGTTTGAATAAAGAGTCAGGGGACATTCAGGATACACTCAGGATAGAGGAAGATGGTGGGAAAGACCAAAAACCAAGATACCAGAAGGCGGCCACTAAAATAGAGCCAGAGAGACACAGAGAAAGGCTGACTGACCTGAGCCAGTTCCCAGAGGGAAGGACAGAAGGACAAATTCAAGCAATATTTAAGGGACCAAGTCCACTAGCGGGACATGTGGTTGGAAGGAGGCAACAGCAGTGACTGCAAATGGTACAAATGATTTTATTTAAGTCATTTCTGCAGATATCCTTGGGGAGATTTACTGTGCCTTTACCTCCTCAGATTAGAGGACATCTATGGGTGCCCTTATGACTTTATGGAAGTGTTCGATGGACGGCAAGTTGCCTCACTCTCCATGGGCAGATTCTGTGCTGGGACAGAGCTCTCGTTCCTCTCCTCTTCAAACATCATGACTGTGGTGTTCAGAAGTGATGCCATGATCACCAACACAGGGTTTTATGCTCTGTACAACGCCATTCAGCAAGATGAAAGGGAGAACGGTGGGTATCCTGATATGGACCTTGGAGGGAAGTTAGATCTAATTTGTGTCCTTTCTCTTTATGAGAGTAGATGCTTTCTAAATCTGACCCGCAGGGTCCACTGTCACTAATGACATCCTGAGCAATATCCACTCTGACACTAACAGCCCCAGCAGACCCCTCACCCTGCTCTGCCATTCGCTGTCATTTTCCACCACCACAACGTCCTGGCTGAAGAAACAGAGGGCTGGGTCTCATGCCTTGCGTTGGCTGGGTGTGTAGATGGAGGACCTGAACGAGGGTCTCTCTTTTCCAAAGGAAGGGAAGACGCACTAGGGCAAATCCTTCTACAACAAACCTACCTCAAACTACAACTACCAGCCCACCTGATTCCAACTGAATTCCATACAAAAACCACCCAGAACAAACCTCTTGGATTCTGTAGCAGGGCATAGGGAATATTCTAGAGCTCTCAGTGGTTTATGCTTAGGGTGACTGTGCAATTTATTCTCTAATCAGGATACTTGTGAGGGTTTAAAAAGGGACTCTAGAATAATTAAGAGGCATTACCTGATCTGCAACCGTTGTAAATCCAGATTATTATAGGCAAATCAGGACACAAGGCCACCCTACCTAGAATCCGATAGCCTAAGGTGAGAAAAATGTGCCCAGGTGCTGAGCATTCTGTAACTGCAGAAGGTCCTAGAGTTTGGAGACAGCACCACAGCTCAGAAGCCTCTGTTTTCCTGTCCTGTAGGTGCATCCCTGAGACTGGTGAACGGCAGCCACAGGTGTGAGGGCCGGGTGGAGGTCTTCTACAATGGCACCTGGGGCACTCTGTGCGATGACAGCTGGGACCTGACAGACGTCAGGGTGGTATGCCAGCAGCTTGGCTGTGGTGAGGCCTTATCAGCCCCAGCTCAGAGCTACTTTGATGGAGGCACTGGCCACATCATGCTAGACGACGTTCAGTGCACAGGGAACGAAGCCAAGGTGTGGCAGTGCACACACAACGGGTGGTTCTCCCACAACTGTGGGCACCATGAGGATGCCAGTGCCATCTGCTCAGGTGAGACCTGTAGGGCCCGGCACACCTGGGAGAGGGTCTCGCACATCAGCAGCCTCTGGGAAGGGAGAACTCAATGCCAGAAGGCCATTACTCAGAAAGGACTCTAGGACTTCAAGCCAGATTTCTAAGTCACTTTAAGAGTTAGATTTCCTTCTTTTCAATTAGTGTGTCTATAAAATGTGCCAGGTCTCCCCCCAACCGCTTAAAAGTTGTGATAACTAGATAGAGGATTTGTATCATCAGACATCCCATTCCTGGATAGACATGCCACAGTGTTGGGGACAGTCCCTGTCCCTGAATAGGAGTAGTAGCTGGTGTCCAAAGACGGCTTAGCGTGTGCCAAGCTCCACGCTGAAACCAGTGCATTCAGACTCTCATTTGACCTTCCCAGTCTCTAATAAAGGAGACTATTACTTTCTCACCTTACTGACAAGACAACAAAAGCATATCTAAGGTCACACACGGTTCCTTCTCTGCTCAGTATCGTCTCCAAGATACTGTAGGGAAGACTGAGCTTGGCTCGGTTACTAAATGTCCTCCAGCCCCATAACTGAGCAAAAGAAAAGAAATACCGTATTTTTTTATTTGCTTTCAGTTTTAGTATCTCCGGCAATTAGGTGAAATATCATGAGGCTGAAAAGCAGAGTGCGCCCCTGCACCCAGTGGGCTCTGACCTGGCTGCCAATCCTTAAGAGCATTGACAGGGTTGGTACTACATTCCCAACTGCCCACAAAGAATGTGTTTGATCCTTAAAAAAAAAAAAAAAAAGACCTGATTTTCTTTTGTGAACCACATGACTGTCTTACTCTTTCTTTCTTTCGGTCTTTGAGTAGGTGTCGATGGGAATCCGAAAGTAGGACCAAAAGGTACAGTCGCTCTTGTGTACATTTCAACTGCTGTCAGGTCTCCGAGTGACGTCTGTGACCCTGGTTACTGGTTAATCCTGTAATCCGGGCACAGGTGACAGCATAAACCTTCTTTTGCTCATGAACCAGAGCAACACAGCCCACTGGTGTTGACCTATTGGTGGCGCTGGCTGTCCACAGAGGGTTGGGAGAGGGCGGGTGGGGGGCGGGTCAGCGTTCAGGTTCACCAGCAATGCCATATGTGGGCCCCAGGGCTGCGGTGAGTCGGCTGCTGCTGTGATAGAGGGCTAGCTGCTTGCAGGGATGATCATGCCACAGATGCTGCGGAGGAGAGCAAGGAAATGGGAACCCCAGGCCAGCCCTCAAGGAGCTGTATCCAATCTCTCTCCTCCGCACCCTTAGTGCGCAGACGGCCCAGCTCTTAAAGAGACAGCCACCTCTGCCCAGAGCAGCCACAGCTTTGAATGTCAGTATTTTTGAGGAATATCCTGGATAAAAATCCTGGCTCACGTATCGTTCTTCCTCTGTGTGTTTTCACAGACTCGGCTGGTGATGGTCCTGCTGCAGGTGCGTCACTTTACGTAAACCCTTCGCGTGGTTTTAGATTTGCCTTATCCTCAGTGTAACCCTTCCCGCAGCTAGATGGTACTCTCTTCCTCTTCTATGTGAGAAGCTGCAACACCGAGGAGCCTTTAATTTAAATTTCGCACCAAACCCAGTATTTCAGCCATAAAATGGATGTTTTATGGGACGTGGGTGTCTGACGTCAGCTGGGATTGATATATAATACAAGGCATCTCCCAACACAACCAGCCAGTGACGCGCCCTGAGAAAGGATGCTTTAGGCTCGCGTTGTCCTTGTGACTTTCCACGAAAACACACACTCAGCTCTGTCTGTGCATCTAGGTCCAGAAAGCCCTGCCAACCCTATGGCAGTGTCATTTCTCCTCACGAAGCCCAGAAAGCTCGAAGGGACTGGTGTAACCCTTTTATCTGACGGAGAACAGCATCAAAAACTCAGAGGGGTCCCCAAAACCAACTTTTCTCTTATCAGGCAAACCAGCCCTGGGGTAAACTCCCCTCGCTCCTCCTCCCTGTGCCCTCTGACCCCTCGGAAAACACAGCACGGGTCAGCGCCTCCTCCTGATGGGGTCTCTTCGCCCTTTCTTGCAGATGAAAACTTCCACTGTGGCGGTTTGCTCACAAATAATTCGGGCTCCTTCTCCAGCCCTTGGTATCCTAAGAAATACCCTATAAATGTGGTGTGTGCCTGGGTCATCCACGTGGACGCCAGGGCTCATGTCAAGCTCACATTTGAAGTGGTGAAGTGAGTAACTGTCTCCCACTTTGCTCTGTTTTGTCAACACAGTTATTGTATGGTGACTCACATAACACAATAAAAAATAAACATAAAATAAAATAAAAATAAAAAATAAACATAGTTATCCTACCACTGCCTCTAGCCCCACCAAGAAACAAACGAACAGACAAATAGAAAAAAGCCACCTTCCACAGTTAATTCTCCAAAGCAAGGAAGGCATTAGAGGCCCATTGGGTGGCATTGATCGAAACTATAAAGGCAAAAGTCTTTTGATGCTGCAATTCCAGTTCCAGAAGATGAGTCCACTGATAGTCTCATGTGCTGAGGGTAATCATGGCGATGTTCTCATAGGAGCACTAGATTGGAAACAATCTAATCGCCGTCAGTAGGGGATTGTTAAACACATTTGGGTCCACCACACACTAGGGGTATATGGCCATGGAATGGTCTGCAAGAAAACCTTGGACAACAGGGCAGCGACTGACATCTGGACTCAGACTCTAACTGGAAGGAAACTGTTTATAGTAGCTGCTTCTTAGAAGCAGAATGAAGCCAGAGGGACCAGTCAGGGGTGGGAGAAATTTTACTTTTCACCAAACACCTTTCCATACCACTTAAATTCTGGTCTCTGTGCTTATAATGTGTGCTTAGGAAATGCAATCTCATGGAAACTTTACAAAGCGGAAGGTTTTTATAAACAGGAAGATACATACTGCCTGTCAGCAGGGTCATACTTCCCTCCGAACTGTGCGAAAAGATGGGGGTCTCAGCTGGTTCTTCCAGAACCATCCCTTCCTGAACCCATCTGTGCAGTGCTGGGGGAGGAAAAGCCCCAGCAGACAGATTCTGAGTGATGTTGTTCCTTCACAGGTTGGAGAACTTCTACGGCTGTCCGTACGACTTCGTTGAAGTCTTTGACGGCCCGCAGAGTGAATCTTTTTCTCTGGGGAGGTTCTGTTCTGGTACAACCCCAACATTCACCTCCTCCTCAAATCGCTTGACGGTGGTCTTCCACAGTGACGCAATCATCACCAACATGGGCTTTTATGCATCCTATGAGTCCATTGTGCAAGACGAGATCAATACTGGTAAGTCCTTTGGTCATTTTGTTCCTGGCCCTGCCTGGTGGAAGGCGAGGGCGGGTGGGCAACTCGGACAGGAAACCAGGGATGGCCAAGGGTCCCCCCGCTTCCTTGTTTACCCCTGAGGTCTGACTGGGGAGAGTAGTTGAAGACCCACTTGTGGGCTATGGAACAACACATCCAGTCACATCTTCCAATACTAAAGCCCAGCACAAGGTGCCAGGCAGGGCTCGCACCTGACGCAGCCTTGGAGCCTGTTTCATTCCACACACACGTGTCGTCTCTACACCTGCTTCCGGTGCTGCCCACCAAGAGTGGCCACAACCAGGGTCAGTACATGTGGTGCTGCCCACCCCACACCGCCCTTTCAGGGGCCTCCTTTTGCCTCTGTCAGGTAGACAATCCTGTCTAAGGGGAAAAGCTTTAAAAAACAGCTTTCAGAAAATCATACAGAGGGGACACCTGGGTGGCTTAGTGGGTTAAAGCCTCTGCCTTTGGCTCAGGTCCTGGTCCCAGGGTCCTGGGTCTCTGCTCAGCAGGAAGCCTGCTTTCCCTGCCCTCTCTCTCTGCCTGCTTGTGATCTCTTTCTCTCTGTCAAAAACATAAATAAAATCTTTAAAAAAAAATCACACAGATGTGAGAGCTCAAACCCTTGTGCTCAAAGTACCCTTGGCCCACTTTAACCTTCAGTGGCTCCCTCCCCACGTCGGAGCCGAGAGCCCTCGAAAGCTGGTCAACTCCCAGGAAATGCCCAGGCCCTTCCTCAAAGCCAGGGTCAAAGGTGGGGTGTCCAGAGCGTGACCCAGGCGTGTCTCCTTTCCCAGATTTGGCCCTCAGGCTGGCCGGCGGCAGCCACCGGTGCGAGGGCCGCGTGGAGCTGCACTACAATGGCACTTGGGGGACGGTGTGTGATGACAGCTGGGACCTGCGTGACGCCCAGGTGGTGTGTGGGCAGCTGTCCTGTGGCAGGGCAGTGTCGGCCCCCAGCAGGGCACATTTCCGCCAAGGCTTGGGCCCCATTGCCCTGGACGACGTGAAGTGTAGGGGGACAGAAGCCAGGCTGTGGCAGTGCCTGCACCGTGGCTGGTTCTCCCACAACTGTGGCCACCACGAAGATGCTGGCGTCGTCTGCTCAGGTGGGTCTGATTCTGACCCAGGTGGGTGGGCAGAACGGCGTGCCCAACTGCACTCAGAGCAGGAAGGGATCTTAATGTCACTGTTCCCCAAGCTTTCGCCGTTCCGACACTCCTGCGTGGCGTCTGCCCATCCGCCACCCACTGCACTTTCCCCCATACTTTCTTTCTCGTGAACTCTTCTTTCATTTACATGAAATCATTTTAAAGGAAGTTCTATATTCCCCCCATACGTGGACAGCCAGGATCACTTGCTGTAAACAGACAATACATACCAATAGACACTGTGGCAATAAAACAATGTTAAAATGTTAAAAAAAATTAAAACAAACAATGAACTCTCTAATCTGATCAATTCGTGCTCATGCATATCTGAAAATATCCTTAATCAAAATGGAACTCAACTTAAAATTTTAAATTATAATGCTTTATAAATATATAACTCTTAAAATAGGAGATGCACCATCTCAAATTATCTCACGTCCCACCAGTGATGAGTCATGCCTCTGGGAAACATCTCTTTGGTTCATCCCCCTTGTTGCCCAGGTGACACAGAGATGGCTCTTAAAGTCACAGAGCTGGGAGCCCAGGTCCCAGCCCAGCGCAGTTATTCCTCAGTTTTATCCCAGTTGAGTTTCTGGAAATGAATTCCAAAGCCCCCATTTATCTCTGCTTCTTTCTGGGTCTGTCTGGGAAGCGGCAAAGTTGTTGATCAGCCAGACCTGGCCACAATGACCAGAGGATAGAAGAGTAAGCAGGGGTGGGGATACTAGAAGCTTCTGAGAGGAGAAGAGAGACGTCAAGGGGCAGAGTCAGTGTTGAAGCAAAGCAGGAGTGGAAGTCATGTGCTGAGTATGACATCTGAGGACAGGGCTGGGGGCCGAAGGAGCAGGGAGGTGTGGAACCAGAACCGTGGACAGAGTCGCAGGAGGTGGGTGCGAAGTGATGGGGACCGAGTTCACCTTCACCCTGGCTCTGCGGCTCCTGGGCTCCCTGCAGGTGCTGATGCTCCCAGTGTGTGTCCTTGACACAAACCTAGTTCTGCATTTTGCGAACTGGCACTTGCTCTGGGAGGCAAGATCCACATACCCAGGAAGAATTACAAAATCAAACCAACTGGAAAGTTAGGAACTCCACATAAGGCAACCAGCACTGTGACCAGTTTGGGGGTGAGGAAGACACTGTGATGGCCAGCAGCTCGACAAAAATGAACCCAGTGACCCGGGACATCTAGTGCTTGCAATCATGGCAACTCAGGGCCATTCTCACCTGCCCAGATTGGGTGCAATTTCTCCCCAGAACAAGAGATGGACCTTTCTGTTTCAAATAAGTAGATCAACCTCTCGGGTTTGAGAAGAATGAAAGGACATGACATATGCTCACCTTTTGATCTATGTCTCTCCTAGCCTCTCTGCCTCACTCAACACCATCGGCTGATACAAGTCACCCAATTTCAGGTAATTTCTATTATGCTTTATTGAGTAACTGTAACTTATCTTGGCAAAGTCACCGTGGGCAGTACGGCAGTGGTTTGGGAGCCAAAGGCCCTGGATCTGCCATCCCGGCTTCATCAGTTACAAACTGTGGGATCTTGAATAAATCTCTGAACCCCCTCATGCCTCCTCCTGTAGATATGGATGAGGAGAAGGATAATAGTCTTTGCCTCCTAAGACCGTGCTGGGACACAGCGCTCTCTCTGTGTAGGATGGGCGGGGCAGTGCCTGCCATGGGGGGACACTATTTAGAGGCAATGGCCACCTCTGTGTGTCATCTCTGTGTGTACTACTTTCTGCCAGACAGGATGACAAAGAATGAAGAAACTGAACACCTAACTTGGTCTTTCCCTGACTCCGTGACCAGCTCAGTAGTTGTCATATTTTAAATTAGGTCAGCCCCCCTGTTTGTGGCAGAGTCTTCAAGAGTAAAATACAATATGCAGGGGAGTTAGGAAAAAGAAATGGCCCCACACCTTCAAAGGAAACACCAGAGTAGGTTAGGCTAAACGAGGAATGCTTTCTTTAAAATCTCTCTGCTTAATAAAGAAAAAAAATGTATTAACGACCATGCTCTGATTTTCTAGAATGTGCCTCAGTTGCTTGTCCTGCTGGTACATACACCAGCTGAGCGATGGCAGGGCCCACCCCACCAAGCGAGGACCAGGGAAGGGACTTGATCTAGAATCAGGAACTGTACGTGACCCACAAGGCAGAGGGCCCGCGGACAGTTCACTGAGAGTTAAATAGGTTTAGCATGTAAGATGCGGTATCCTGTCCTTTTGTGTTTCACTCTGCCCTTAGCATCTTTCCCGGAGCCGACAAGAGTTCCCACATCAGCAGGTAAGCTGTTCCTCTCTCCTCACTTGCCTTCGCTGACTCGAGTTTTAGCTCAGAAATGCTCCAGCGCGATGGCTGTGGGAGAAAATGTCGCCACCGGAGACACTCCCCACCCCCCAGCCTGAGGCGGGCATGCAGGGGGCTGCTGCCAGCGGAGGGGGCTGAGGATGCCAGGGTCTGCCTGGAAAATCTGTGGTTGGCAAGTGAGTGGCAAGAAGCTAGGAGATGCACATACGACTTCTGGGGACGGGTCTGGAGGGCTGAGGGTGGCCCGCTCAGCCCAAATCTCCCCACCCCGGACTCCCACCACGAGCTGTCCTTGGCTGTGTTCTGAGCATAGCTCACCTCTGTTCCCTTCTGCAGCCTTGCCCTTCGAGCGGGAGGGGCAGCCAGGCACGACCGCTCTGTGCGCTCCCCGGAGCATCCGCACGTATGTGCTGTGTTGCCCCAGCGACCCTGGGAACAACACAGAGGAAAGCTATTGTTGTCAGATGACCAGCGTGTGCAAGGGCACACAGAGAATATCACACACACACACACACACACACACACACACCCGAAGTGGTATGTGCATGTTAGCTTCTCAGGAAAAACCCAACAAACCCTGTGAGTGCCAGAAACCAACACTTCACCACACACCGGGAAAGACACGAAGCAGCTTCACGGTGAGGCGGGTCCGAGCCAGCCGGCTAAGGAGCAAAACCTTCTGGCAAGCAACCGTAACCTCCAGAAACGCAGTCATACCCAAGGCAAGAAAGAATAAACGAGGGAGACGAAGTGAAGGGGGGAGTAGATCTGTTGTCACCGGTTATCAGCGGACACTCTCCAAGAAGTGCCGGCTCTTCTGGAGGCCGTCGGAAGTGTCCACCAAGGTCCAGCCCTGCGGCTGATGAATGGGTCAGGCAGGTGTGAAGACCACGCTGACACCTGGGGCACGGTGCGTGATGACAGCTGGTCCCTAGACAATGCCCACGTGGTCTGCAGACAGGTCGGCTGTGGCCCGGCTGTGTCCACACTCCCAGGGGCCAGCGTCCGCCCTGGGTCAGGCAGCATCCTTCAGACAATGTCAACTGCGAGGGAAGCGAGTCCTCCCTGGGGCAGTGTCTTCCCGGTGGCTGGCTTGCTCACAACTGGGGGCACCACCAGGACGCTCGTGTCTTCTGCTCAGGGGAGGGCGGGTCCCTCGCGGGCGGGTCATGGAGCTGCCTGGGCTGAGCCTGAAATCTGCACGGGGAGTCTGGAAACATCTCCATGCCTTAAAGCTTCCCCGCATCCGGGACAGGTTCCTGTTCTCACTCCGGAAGGGTTGCCAGCTGCTTCAGATATGGGAGGGCCCCGTTCCACTCAAGGGACTCCAAAGGTTAACCCCCTGTAAAATAATCAGTAATGGTACTTATAAAGTTGTCGGTGGATGAAACGAGTCATCCCACATGAAGCCTTAGTCAAGCATATGACACACGGTGAATGTACGACACGTTAACTGTTTCACTGGGATTTTAGTTCCTAAGGCAAATTCTCGCGGAATCACTGTCTCGGAGGTTCGGGCCGGGCTGTAAAAACCCGAGCAGAACAGCCCAAGAGATGAGAACAACTGTTTACGCAGGCTTATTGGGCTATTCTTGAACAGAGACAATGATTTTCAAACCACTCAACCATCCTCATTTCTATTATTTTTTAATCTTGATGAAGTCCCAAAAATTCATTTTTGTTTTGTTATTTTTTTAAAAGATTTTTATTTATTTATTTATCTATTTATTTGGTTATTTGGGAGGGGGCAGAGGGAGAAAGAATCTCACACGGGGCTGCATCTCACGACCCTGAGATCCTGACTTGACTGAAAAGCAGAGTTGGACGCTTAGGAGGCCACACTCCCAGGTGCCTCACCCCATTTCTATTATTAACCCTCCCCCCATTTTTCCTTATCTCTGCAGATTCTGCAGCTGCTGGGCATCCAGGGATCCGTGAGTTCACTCCCATTTTATCTGCCAATGGGTGACGAGCCACCTAGTGCCAGGGGCCCCACACTAGGTCTCCCTCACCACCCTTCACTCTCCTTGACAATGCTCTTCGCTCCAGACCTTTCCCAGAGGGCGAAGGCCCGGAGCTGTTTCCCATTCCCCTGGGGCCGTCCTCTGGCCCCCGAGGAAAAGCTGTCTGGGGTGGTGGCAAGTTTGAGGTCATCCTTCCCGTATAGGAGATCTGCGTGTCAGCAGGACTGAGACCCCGGCTCCTGAGCCGAAGTGGGGGCTCATCCACAGAGGGGGTTACAGGCCAGAGAAGGCAGGAGGCTCTGGGGGCAGGCGGTCCTGGTGGCAGCAGACTTTCCCGACTCCGCCACGCCACCTGGACCTCTGGATGTTAAGGCTGAACCGTGGGTTCTGAGAAACCCTCTGGGCCGATGGAGCCATACCCTCCCAACCCCAACATCCACTTTATTTCTCCTGTTGTCTCACTCCTCACCAGAATAGTATGTACACGTGTGTGAGCCACCATCACGTTTTACATGCTAACCATTGGATTAGACTGGATGGGGTCGTTTAAAGGCAAACCCACACCTGGGAAGGAGAGGCTGTTGAGACAACTAGGCAATTGCACGGATGGTTTGGAGTGTCCTTATGATGTTTTCTCTTCCCCACGTGCAGCTTCTTCAGCTCCAGGGGAGCAGCCGCGTGTCTTCCATCCAACAGGTATCTTTTCCATTCTTAGATTTTGTGACTTCTTTTCCTAGGCTGGCATTGGCGGCCCACAGAAATGTAGCCAATGTAGTTTTCCTGGCCCTGAGGCTGTAGGGGATCAAGGCTGGTGACATGGTGGGTTGTTCCCACACGGGGACCTTCCCAAGGAGAACCAGCCACCCACCCAGCCTCAGTGGCATCACTGGACGTCTTGTAGGAAGAGCCTGACCCACACAGTACTCTTGGGGGCCCTACTCTAAGGGAACCCCAGGAACCAGATCAACTTCTGGGGCTCAGAATATGAGAACCAGCCTCATTTGCTTTTGGTTCAGGGTCAAGTTTCACCCAGTCACCATCCTACCTTCTGGTAGGAGCAGTGCTCCCCCCTCTTCTGCTCAGTTTCCCAGCCCCAACCTTCTCCCTCAACCTCCAATAAATACTTCAACCTTTTTAAAATTCAAGTAAGGTGAAATTAATTCTGTTCTGAGAGCTCCATAACATTTTTCGAGACCTGGGCAAGAAATAAGAAGTCTGAACATCAAGTGTTCTGCTGAATGGTTTTGAATTTGTAGAGAAACCACACGGCGAACGACACTGCAGACAGGAAGAAAGTAGAAGGTTGTTTTTAAGTGTGTCTTCTGCAAGGTCACCATGTGGCCCTGGTTCCCATAAAGAAGTGGCCCAGTGAGTGTGAACCACTGTAGAGATGGTGCTAAATTTCAGAAACCAGACGCAGTCCTGTGGTCCCCTCTGCATCTATGGTGTCCCCGTGGACACAGGCTGTGCAACCAGTGGCCAGAGGGCTGGGGCTGGGGTAGAATTCTCTAGCTGGGAATGCTGTCTCATTTGAGAGTGGCAAGAACCTTCTCCAGCCCCTCTGCCCTTGGCCCCTGCAGATCCGCCCCTGGTGCGACTGGCGGCTGGGAGGAGCAGGTGCGACCGCCGTGTGGAGATCCTCTAGGATGGCCCCTGGGGGGCGGTGTGTGACCACCTCTGGGGCCTGCCTGCTGTGCAGGTGGTGAGCCGGCAGCTGGGCTGCAGGCCGGCCCTGGCGGTCCTGAGGGGCAGTCTGTTTGGTGGCAGCTTGGGCCCCATCCTCCTAGACACTGTGCAATGTACAGGCAACGAGAGAAGCCTGGGGCGGTGCCACCACCTCGCCCTGTCGGTCCATAACTATAGACACCACGAAGAGGCTGGGGCTATCTGCTCAGGTCCCTGAACTCTCCCTCAGCCCGGCTTCCCACCCTAAGCAGCAGAGCTGGACCTGCCAGGAGGCCAACCCCGAAAGCCTTGGGCTTCCAGGTCATGAAAACAGCTGGTCCCATCTGCCTGGAATTTTCCCAATTGTAGCGCTGGAAGTCCCCTGTCCTGGGAAGCCCCTCAGATTCGGCTAACCCAGGACACTGGTCGCACTAGTCTCAGGTGTGTCAGATATCACAGCCTGTTCCCCTGCTCGAAGGAGAGCAGAGATCCTCGGAGCAAAACCTGTGCCTGGGAAGCGGGAAGTTGCGCCCCTGCTCGGGACGGTTTTTAATTTCCAGGAATGATTTTCTGATGTGTGTCAATCCCATAAATTTCTCATGAAGCTATTTCTCAGAGAGAGCTCCATATGAACGCTCTCCTGATTTGCTGTTGCCCGACTAGGGCTTTTCTTACCATTAGGGACAATTTTTATTTCAAAAAAGCTGAATGAACACTTAAAAACCCTGTTTGATTACCTTCTCCTACTAAATGATACATGCAGCAAACATCTGTGACCCCCACGCCATGGCCCAGAGCCGCCCCCTTCTCAGAGGGTGGGGGGAGACAAGGTCCCCAGGCGGGTGAAGAAGCAGACAAGGTGAGGATCCTTCTCACCTCCCGTGTCGTTGGGTAGTTCTTTTAGTCCGCAGAGGGAGCCTTTGGTGCTCTGAACACGTCTTGGTATCTCTCTATGAGACTCAGAGTCAAAATGCCATCAGACACTCATGTGTCCTATTTGTGTTAGCGTCAGGTCTAAGTGGCTATGGATGGCTCCTCCCTGGAAAAGCTCAGCTAGAGCCTTCGGATTAGTGTCCATACACCAGGGTCTCACCAACGGGGGGAAAGGTGGTGGTAGAAATCCAGTCGCCTCTGCCAGTACGTTCTGAACTGGCAACTGGCACAGATGTGGGTTCACACACCCACTCAGCTGGTGTGTCTGCTATCGTTTTGCAGCTGTGCACTGCACTAATGTTAAGTGCCTTGGGTTTTCTCTTCCAGCTGCAGAAGCTGTCCCAGAACCCACAGAAACAAATCCTACAGCCGGTAATCCTTCTATTGCTTCATTCAGGACTTGCTAGTATTGACTCTTTCTAGTGGCTTCCCTGAGGCTACAACCAGGAATGTCAACCACCAGAGGGTTCGGGCCCAACGCTGTGGAAGAGGTCGCAAGCAGGGCTAGCTCTTGGTCTAGTCTCTGCTTCTAAAATTTATCTGTGAATCTGGTGTACCCGAACCAGTGTACAAGTTTTGACTAAAGAAAATAATGAAAAGTTGACTTTGACCTATTTCCATGCTGTTGCTTAGCAATTTAATGACCCAGTTCTAAAATTAGTATCTATCCTTACCCTTGCAATTATCCTATTTCTTTTTTTTTAAGATATTATTTATTTATTTGACAGACAGAGATCACAAGTAGGCAGAGAGGCAGGCAGAGAGGTGGGGAGGAAGCAGGTTCCCCGCTGAGCAGAGAGCCCGATGTGGGGCTGGATCCCAGGACCCTGAGATTGTGACCCGAGCTGAAGGCAGTGGCTTAACCCACTGAGCCACCCAGGTGTCCCCAATTATCCTATTTCAAAGGAACAAGTATCTGAAATCAGAGCTAGCCCAGAAAAACCAGTCATTGCATTTGTGAGCAATAATGTAACTTTTCCCTGTGAGACTTGGGAAAGGAAGCAAGAGATGGTAGAGTAGTGGACTTCAGGGTTGGCTAGGGTAAAAATTACAGAAAAGTCCTATTAGAAATTACTTGCCAGAGGAGCTAATCCCATTCCAGTAACAACCTGAGTCTTGCCCAGACTTGCCCACCATCAGGTTGGCGGATGGGAGGAGCCATTGTGAAGATACACCACAGTGGCACATGGGTGACCATGTGGGATGACCTCTGGCCACCGATGCAACCGACGTCATGTGTTGGCAGCCAGACTGTGAGGAGGGCATCGGAGCCCTGGGGAATGGCCACTCCATGGAGGGTGTGGGGGGCGTCCTCCTGGACAATGTGCAGGGCCGGGCAATGAGGCCACAGTAGGCCAGTGCTGGCACTGGGCTTGCCATGCGGCCACCATGGATGCCGGAGTCCTTGGTTCAGGCACTCACTCTTGACTTTCTCTTGACATTGCCGGAGCCACGGCCCTGGGGGTAGGCAAGAGGGATGTGGAAATGAATATGCGGAAGCTCAGGTCCCCTCGGGGTCCTCCAGGCACCTGTTATGGTCCATTCTGGTTCCCAGAAGCCTCTGGGTCCTTCTTAGCCTCTCTTAATCTGCTAATTTACCCATCGTTTGAACCTACACTCAGGGGTTCACTTTGGAGCCCTCAGTCTCTGCCCTCTTCAAAGATTTACCAGATTCCCTGTTATCCACGCACTGGGGTAACTGCTCTTCCTAGTCTTTGGCTTAAAATTATGTTTTGAGCCTGAAAGCTGCCTTTCTGGTGCTGCTTTGGGAGTTCCATGAACAAAACCCAGTCCCTCCCACCTGGGCCCTTTGTGAAAGCATCGCCTATTTCCAGGGGGCCCCTGGTTTGAGATGGTTTCCCTTCCTCTTTTTTTTTTTTTCAATTCAGCCCATGTACGCATTATTTCAGGCTGCCAAGCCAGTATGACTACAAAAGCAAATCAGATGAAATGAAAATACCCACTGCCCAGGTACTCTTAATTTCGTAGAGTAAAGACAAGAATAATGGGATTCAGCGAATGCATCCATTTACTTAATAAATGATTCCCGAGCTCTTTCCCTGCGCCAGGCGCAACTCTATGGGAAGACACAGAAGTGAGCATCGCAGGTGACTATCCTGCCCTCATCAGGCTTCCTTACCAGGGTGAGGGGTCAGGATGCCTTAGGTGTTTCAGCCATAGTAGGTCACTCACAATAGTGACATTGAATCTGATTACATTGAGGAACCACTCTCCTTTCCTATTCAGACATTGGTGCTATGGTATCAACTAGGTAGGTCACTGAAAATGAGCAAATCAGTGCTGGAAACCTAAGGTCAGAATTGGGAAGGTTTCTATACTCTGCAACCCCAGGAAATCTTTGCTCTGCACGGCATCAGAGAAACAGCCTTTCTGACCCACGCGGGGTGATTACACCATCCTCACGACCAAAGATGCTTCTCACCTCCACCTTCACGCAGCCCTAGCTCCCATTCAGTCTCATCCAAGAGGCTTTTCTTATTTGTAATTTCACATTTCAAAAGTCATTTTTGTGTCTAATTTTAGTACATCTGAGGCATAAATGTTTCAAGTAAAAAGGTAGCTTCTAAATTTTCTGCTGGTGGGTGGGATTTTTGTTTGGATTTTCTCCTACTTTGGTTTTGGTTTTGTTTTACAGTTTCAGCACCAGCCGCAGAAATGACCACTTTGCCTGGTAATTTTATTTTCATTCTTGCTTTATAGAAATCATAGATGGCCAGATGGTCCTGCATATGGGTAGGGTTAAAGTTTATCCATCACCAGAAACTAAATATTGAGCTCATATCAAACTAATATAAGGTGCTCACATATTCATCGAATGCTTAGTAACTTGGGCAGATACAGCTTACATCCCTTCTGTATGGAGGACATCATTTGCCCAGTGTGTGCCCTTGGCCCTTGGTGCACCTGCAGGTCTCTGAGATCATATTATAGTGACATGAGACTCCTTCAGATTCACACTTTTGGGAATTCAATGAGTTCCTTTTTTGAACAGCACAGGACTTCGGGCATCATGGGCAAATTTATCCCTGTAATCTGCATTTTCAGAAAATAATAGAGTACCACATCTCCTGCGTATGTTTCACAATACAGTACACCAACCCAGTCATATGCAAATTTTTAAAAATAATTTAAATAACTAAATAAGTCGGGGGAATACCATATCCTTCTCTTGAAGATTCTGTCTGTTAGCCCATTAACATCTCTGACAAGTCCCGCAGTAAAGGATCTTTTTAACACTTGTTTTGACCCAGGTTTCTCAAAATTCTTTGACCACTGAAACCTTCCAAGTAGAAATACAGCATCACAGAATTTGGAGCTCAAGAATCTTGGCTTATGTTCTGGCTCTAGCCTTTACCAACTGGGTGACAGTGGGCAAGTGCCCTTACCACCCAGAGCCTCCTTTCTTCATCTGTAGAACAGGAAGAGGAAGCTTGTCCTGGAGATTGGGTGGCACACACCAGTGCAAGCACACACACCAGTGCAAGCACACTCACCAGTGCAAGTGCACACACCAGTGTGGGCACACACACCAGTGCAAGCACACACTGGTGCAAGCACACACCAGTGCAAGCACACACCAGTGCAAGTGTACAGTGACGGGAGCTTGACAGTCACACTACAAAGAGATGTGTGTGCTGCTCTTGGCTGAGTATCTGGCTCTCTAGTTTAAGCAACACATGTGTCTTTTTGTGAACTTCCCTCTTGGGGACTTTGGGGATCATCCTAGAGCTTGAGTTAATCAATATATGGCTAAGTAAGTGGGAGACATGCCATCTCAGAACAAATCAATTCAAGTCAAGTTTTCTCCAACGGAAAACGCTCATGAAAGTAGTTCTTGGTCCATGTTTCCAAAAATCTCAGAACCCTCTGCCAGGCTCCGGAGAAACCGACCTCTAAGGAAATCAGATAATGAAACCGATTTGTCTCTTTGTGGTTGGGTTTGTGAGAATCCGCTGCCAGCTCTCTCAGGCAAGGTCAAGTTCAATATGGCAGCATCACCGTATAACGTTTTTTTCAAGATTTGGAAGAAACCTCAGAGACTGTTCAGACCTGAAATCACAAACAGGCAGCCCATTGAATAAGTTTGGACATGGGGGCAGTTTTGATTCAGACGAAAGAGTTTTGCCAATCAATGTTTAATTTTCTTTTAATACCACATTTTACAAATGAGTGATTTCAT